GCTTGTATTTAGCTCCAGTGGCAATTAGGTACGAGACCGCATTGAAGCAAAGGCTACTAGGTGCGAAGACCTACAATGCGGATTTCAGTTATGTATACTCACCTCTCCGCCCATGAGTGTACTCACCATGCTAGCACCCTGGGCAGCTATACCCCCGAGCACCGTGATCAATGTCAGGGTCTTGCCTATAATATCCTTGGCAGCCTTGAATTTTGTGTTTTTCTCGTCGTCCTCATCTTGCTTTATCCGAATCTGGTCAAGGACCTCGTCGACGGTGAATTTTGGAGACGTAGTGAGATCGACCTTGGTCATCTGCGCAAATGCCCCACAAGCGCTTTCCCACGCTTTCTGGATGTTATAATCGTCCTTGACTTCAAAGGCAGACATGTGGACAGTATAAAATGCCACCTGATCATAAATGACAATTTTAGGGACACAATAACAGGTTGGAAAATGTTCCTTGGCTGCCAGCACTATTTGTAACAGGACTCGTAGTTCTGCTGTTCGGATTGCACCATGAAAGGAAAATCATTTCCGCAACAGATTTCCCGGTGTTTTATCCTTAGCGCCAAGCTGAAAACATTATTGCAAAATGGAAAGTGGGGAGAGTTATTGCCCAAGTGAGAGCCGTGGCGTTTCCGCCAATGGTGATAGGGCATGGTCCTACCTGTAGTAAGCGCTAGAGCTCTGATTATCCTGGGATACGAATGGAAGCAAGCTTAGCGTCGAATTAATTACAAACACCTCGTATACAAACAATACCAGCCATCCTAATTTCAAATGTATTGAAGGCAAAATCAATTTGTTCCCCTTCAATGACGCCTACGGCGACAACTCCCGGCAAATCGTTCTGTCACTGGGGTGCTAGCCAAACAACAGGAAGAAGGATGCGGTCGCCGAGGTATCATGCAGCGTATGTCGCAAAGCCGATCGCCTCAATCACGACTATAACAATTTTAAGACTCTCTGACAACAAGATGTCAGAGCGCAGCGCGGAACCAACCCATGTTCGGTGCACCAGAGATGGCCGGTCAGGCAAGGTGCGTATTCACTGAAACAGTTAGCGTCTCTCTTGGTCTTTGTTTAGGGCGGCGCCAGAATAATTGGCAAAATGCTGGTATCATATCAAGCTCTACTGGTGAAGTCGACAAATTAGTGTGACCTCTAAAGCTTCCCACTCTTTTCCAGGCATCTACCAAAAGCTGATCGGGCCAACTGATCTACAAGAGAAATGAGTCCCAAAAAGTCTAGTAATTCAAAGCTAAGAAGAAAGAAACGAAGAAAGAAGAAACGAAGAGAGAGAATCTAATAATAATAAAGATACATTTATAGGATATTTATTAAAGATCTCTGTAAGTATGGATTCGTGCTTTTGAACTTATTATATATTGTAAAAAATCTGGAATACTGAACCAGTTATCTGACTAGGTAAAATAGTTACTCATGATGGTTTGCCTGGTCAGTCGAGAAATCAGCGTGGGCCAGGTGAGCTGCGTCCTCATCAGTGCTGATATCACGTGAGAAAACAGGGAGGGCCAAGGCCTCCCTAAGAGAGGCAAATAGCAAAAATAGGGATAATAGTAGGGCATCTCTAAATTCATATTAATCATTGACACCAACGGCGTGATGCCTGTTCACACTAAAGTTCTAGCCCTATCAGCTCAGAGTATATATTACTTATGGGCCTTCCTCCGATTGACTACTGCACTTATTCTATATGAAAATGCGAGTTTTCATACTAGTCTCTATCTTATGATAAAAATAGATTTAGACTACATGAGGAACCATACAGCAGGGTAGAAAGTACTGAGATCTAATAACTTTCTCCTTTCTTTCTTTGAGTCTCATTATATTCCGGGGATCATCTTACCGATGCATAAGCAATAAAACAGTTAACAAGCGGTGACAGCCAGCCACAGGTATTGCCAGCCAGCCACAACGTGGATCTTGGTATATGCAGGATATTGGGTTTTTCATCTGCTTACATCAACCGCTATTCGCAATACTACCCCCCCACAGTTTTGGGCGGCCCCTTGCATGCTTACCCGTCATCAGCAGGTGTCCACTCAAAATGTGGGAACCACTGGGAGGCCATCATACTGAGCTTCTCTGTTGGGAGGTGAAGGTGAGCTGCAAGGAAACCTCAGCTCATGAAGTTCAAAGCAGGAAAATATCGGTCAAAGCGTGTTGCGCAATGGCTCCTCTCATATTCAGCAATCCGTTATAATGGGACGTTGCGATGCAATTAGTAGTAGTTCATCGTGATTACCCGCAACGATGGAGTCCTCCGGAAGTGCTTCGGTTTGTTCTCCCATTTGTGTCGGGTCAACTGACCACCACACTCACACCTGTCTTCTTTTAGAGCCCCGCGTCGCTACAATTTTCAACTCATGATCCGGCTTGCGATCACTGTCGGTGGAAAAAAATTCGATGTGACCGGGCGCGGCCGCGTTGCGGAGCCTGCCGGCGAGCGTGTGTCGCCTGCGAATACACCTCCAGAGACCGAAAGGTCTTTGCCCCTGGTTCGAGCAACTCTAGTGATGAAGGGGCCATCAGCCCTTTTGGTAACCGACTGGCCCAGCTAGAGAGTTCCGTGGAACGCTTGACGCAGATAATCGAGCACCGGCTGGTCAACGAGCCACGCTGCCACCAGCCAGACCGACCAATGCCCCGTCGTACGTCGACGCCCCCCTTGGTAGAAAACGATCCCCAAGGTCGCGTTCTCTTCACACTTGAAGATGGTCAGCGGTTTCTCTACGGACCTTACTCAAATATGGCCAATTGTTTGGGGATTCTACGAATATTGAGGTCCAGGCGACATGACCAGAACGGTAATGTTGACCTACTGTCGAAGCAGGTATCGGGGTTGTGCAACCTGCTTGGGCCCCAATTATTCAAGGTCTCGTCCTCCGCGGAACCGACCCGACTCCTGCAGCTGTCACAGCAGGCCGTGATGCAAGCAACCGACCGGTACCTTTCCCAGGGAAGCTATATCCAACACCTGTTTCATCCCAGTATCCTGCATTCACGAATCCAATTGTATTTCTTTGGTAGCTTGGGGGTGTCTGAAAGTGGTATGAAACTGTGCCTGCAGTACCTCATGCTACAAAGCAACACGCAAAGTAAGGAAAATGGCCCCGACAGCCGTGATCACGGCCTAGCGCAGGCAAATTGCGATGATTTCTGTGACACCGCCAGGGCGGCGTTGGTGCAGGGTCAGCTGCAAGCAACCACGCTCGTCAATGTTCAAGCTTTGGCATGCATTGTGAGTGACTACCGTCGGGGGAACGTAGCCTGAAGCCCGAACGACACGTCATCGGGGCTGGTCGTGGAAGTTCGTAACAAACTAACTGGAGCGGACAGACAATCATCGCTTTACAGGCAGAAGACCTTCTACTGGCCGATGATTCCTTGCATGGATGTTGTGCCATGGCGCAAAGAATGGGTTTGCACCGAGAGCGCCAGTCAAGCAATGAGCATGTTGAAGAAGCCGAGGAACGGAGATTGCTTTTCTGGACCATCTTCATACTGGACAAAGCCATCGCTTTCACCCTTGGCCGGGCCTACATGCTTCCGAGCTTTGATTGCAGCACCCCAACCCCAGATATGTCGCTCCACAGTGTCCCTGTGGAAGGGCTATCGGCGAGGGTTGGCCTGGCGCTAATCCAAGAACGCGCGTATCAGATCCTGTTAGCCTCGGGGAACACCCACAATAATCGGACTCGTCAGGAAGCCATTACTGACGTGGTAGACCGATTAGAATGCTGGATGGAAACCCATTTTTCCTCGTCCGAATTTTCTGGTAACATCGTCCCGGGCGCATGGGACACTATGACCCAGCGGGCGCTATTATATGAATACTACACAACGCGTGCCGTCGTTCTCGCCCACGGCATGTTTCCCGATGCGCCCAATGAAGTCCTGGCCAGCTCGCGAAATGCCCTGTCCCAACTGTGCCCTCCCTCGCCCCCGGGGAGAACACTATTCTCTGATTCTCGGCGCAGCTGGTAAGAATCACCCTGTTCTCCTTTATATCTTTGCTAGTATAGTGACATGTTTAGGCCGAAGGGAAGTTATAGTCTATTTCCTTTCTTTATCATCACCAAGCACATCCTGCTGGCAGCACAAGATGCGCCGGACCGCAGGGACTGGATCAGGTTTCTCTACGACACCATCTCCTGCTGGGAATCCAGTCACAGCCTTCGCCTTAGTATCGCACTAATAAAACTCGTTTTGCCCCCGTCCGATCTGGTTGGGTATCACAGGGATCGGCTCTCAGGTGAAAATGTGTTCTGGAACGGTGCTGGAAAGTCACCCCGATTGGACTCTGAACAACATTGGGCTTCTTCATTACCTTTGTCCTGTGTCGGACAAGAGCAGAGGGACCAGGACCAGTCAGTCATGGATCTATCCCTCGACACCATTCTGGCTGTGACAGGTGCTCCGTTATGTCCCGAAATCATGGGTCAGGCTTGTGGCGACCCTTTTTCATTCGTTGGCGTTGTGAGCCATCCTGAGACTATCGATTCCAACCTGGATGCAATAGACTCATGTTTAGTGGCGTCCTCCCCACATGATACATTGCGGCTACCGGGACTGACACGGTGATGGGTGTACCTAAGTTCTATCAGAAATGTTGAAGAGTCCAGCAATTTTCGCAATTCCTGAACCTGGATATGTGGAATAAAGGGCTATAATGCATGATTGTTCACCTTGTCTATTACATCATATTTAAATTAACGAACTGAGAAACGAATATCGTGATCATTGCGTGCCATGCTGACCATATACACCCATAATATGCGTTGTATTGAACCCCATGGGAAGGCAATGAGGAATGGTTTACTGCGACAATAGCCTTTGGCAAGGCTGTATAGATGGACCTGAAGTTGGCTGAAGGTGCCCTGTAAACGTGGTTGTGATGCGACGCGGGCTCGGTCCGGATCCCTGCAGGGTGGGAAGATAAAAACCTTCGCCACCGGGCTCATATCATGAACTGGCTAGCTGATTTGCTTCAACAGTCCATTGAGGACGTTTTCAGCGCCGGGATTGAGGCGGTAGCACACCTCGTATTCGTTGGGCTCTTGCATCATCCCTACCGGCACTTGTTGCCCGCCCGCCGGCGCCCGGGACTTCTGTTCTCGGGCCACCATGCCAGTGACCAGTTCGTACGCCAAATTTGCCGCCTGTAACGTGATACACTCAGTTAATAATGGAGGTTCATTCATGGGGTCATGACAGAATGACTGCTGCTTTCATTGGGAGAGAAACGTACCAAATATGCGGTTTCACCCCCTGGAGTGTCGTAGGCCGGGGCCACCTCAACGATATCAGCTCCGACAATGTTGAGATCCATAACACCGCGCAAGATTTTGATCATCTCGCGCGTGGTCCAACCACCCGGTTCAGGGGCTCCCGTTCCTATCATTATCGCGCAAATTAACCATCAACGGCCTGGCATATTCGGGACGGAAGGAGAAGGGGCCAGCTAAGGTAAACCTACCCGGGGCAAACGCGGGATCCAACACATCGATGTCAATGCTCATGTAGACTGGCTGATCCTTCGGGATATGCTGATGAATGCGATCGACGATGCCAGCCGCGCCAATCGTGTCAACCTCATCGGCGGCAATGCGCAGGAAACCCTGCTTGTCGTCGTCTTCTAGGTCCTGAAAGGAATTCCCACTCAAACGGGTGTTGATACCGGCATGTAGAGATGAGGAGTTCGAAATTAGGCCCTCCTTCATGGCATTCCAGAAGACAGAGCCGTGGTTAAACTGAGATTGCATGGAAGTCCAAGCTGAAGGGTACCGATCGGGATGCAGCGAGTCAAGGTGGGAATCGAAATGCAAGAGAGCCACGGGCTCGCCGTACTGTTCGCGAAGAGCTCGGAGGGCGGGAAGCGCCACGAGATGATCTCCACCGAGGGTGATGAGCTTGGGCTTGCCCGTCCCGGTGGTTGTCCTCCGAGAGCCCAGCTCCCGGTAGGCCTCGGTCATTTGATGGACGGCGACGGCGTTGTCAAATGGAGTGACGGGGATATCACCACAATCTAGCACGCGAGCCCATGACTGATACGGGTTGATTTGAGCTGCGGCATGAAAGGCGCGCGATGGGATATGGCGAGCAGAGGCGGTACGAATGGCACGCGGGCCCATACGCGCACCTATTAGGATAGGAGAAAACCAATATTAGACGGTGTGCAATAATAGTGAACCCTGCAACGAGGGCAGAATTTACCGGGTCGATAGCTCACGGCCGTGTCGAACGGCGTGCCAATGATCCCTATGTCAAATGGCGTGTCCGGATTGGTGAGACAATGGACATGCTCCAAGTGGCCAAAAGTAGTAATGCCTGAAAATGCCCACTAAACAAAAGTTTTATTAATAACCAAAATTAAGCTCATCTCCGACGATCACAATTTTGCTTCGGTTTGTGCCTCGATGGCCTTCAACTTACATCTTCACCCCAGCGTTCCTTAAGCTCCTGCATGTGAGCTGGAGATGCTTGGGTGGCGGAGGCGCCTCCAACAAGACCCCCAAAAATGGAGCACCACAGAGAGTAACGCATTATTGGGACCAAAGTATTTTGGTGGGTGACAACAACAATAATGTGTAGGGTGGTAATTGGAGAACCGGTGGGGAGGGAGGGACGCGTAGGGTTTGGGTGGTTTGGCCAATCGATTTATAGCGACATACCTCGCCCTCCCCGAATGCGTCTCCAGCCTCGAGGGCCTCCATACTCGGCCCGCCCGATGACGCCCTTGCATGCACGGGGCCGTCATAGATCGCCCTCCGACCAATTAATGGTCGGAGGCCCCCGGGGTGTGCATCTGCCTCCTGCACCTTTCGGAGACACTAGGAGGGTCCCGTTTACAAATCGACTGCCGGCACCCTCCCTTGCTTGCTGGCCCTCGTGAATGCGCTCTCCTCCCGCCTCTTGCTCTTTCTCCATCCCTCCTCCATCTCCGGTCTGCTTTGGTTCTTTGGACCTTCTTCGATGCTTCGCAACTAATCACCCAAAGTCTCTTTGGTCACGGTGGCTGTACAACCCGCCCATTTCCCTATTGTTACGTCTTCACGGGATACCTCCCGTACCACCTAGCGAGGATGGGCGACATATACTCGGAGGCCGAGTTGGAGCGACTTGGTCGCATGAGGCCGACCATCTTCCCCAATATGCTATCAGAACTTGGGTTTTGCTTTTCCCTCGTGCTCTCACAAATCATGGCGGTAAGCTTCATTACAATATCCCCTGTTTAGTCGGTGTGGACAGCCGTCTTGGGCGGACCTCTGGGCTAACATTCATCAGGAATACTTTATCTCCGGTTTCAATGTTCTGTTGCCCTCTTTGGCCGAGGGACTGGACATTCCGGAAGCCTCATCTAGCTGGCCGTCCAGTGCTTTTGCCTTGACGGCGGGTGGCTCGTTGCTCTTCTTCGGCCGTCTAGCCGATCGCTATGGAGGGTTTGTGGTCTTCGCGGGAGGCTTGGCCTGGCATCTGGTCTGGTCGCTTGTGGCCGGTTTCGCGAAGAACGCCCTTATGATGTATTTCTGTCGAGCGCTACAGGGCTTTGGCCCTGCTGCCTTTCTCTCAGCAGGGATCATGCTCTTGGGTACTACCTATCGCCCGGGTTGGCGGAAAAATTTGGTATTCAGTATCTACGGCGCCTGCGCTCCCATCGGCTTTGTTGCTGGGATCTTTGTGTCCGGCATGACCGGGCAATTTCTTGACTGGCGCTGGTACTTCTGGATCGGGACGATGCTGCTCTTCCTTGCCCTGATTGCAGCTGTGCTCTCTGTCCCAGCCAGCATCCGCCGCAAGCCTCCGCATCCTGACATGCCTATCGATTGGGCTGGCGCCGGTCTTTTCTTCTGCAGCCTTGTGCTGATCTTTTTCGCTATCAACGATTGCGGTCATGCACCCGACGGCTGGCGCACTCCCTACGTGTATGTCACGTTGATTGTGGGCTTTTTTGTGCTGCTGGCTGCACTGTACGTCGAAGGTTGGGTGGCCAAGGAGCCGCTGCTTCCTCTTAGTCTCTTCCGCATCCCCCAATTATCGTCCCTCCTCCTCGGACTGTTCTGTTTCTACGGCGTGTTTGGCATCTGGCTGCTGTACTGTGTGGAGTACATGGAGAATATCATGCATGCATCGCCGCTGCTCGTAGTGGCGTACTTTGTACCTTTCGCGCTGGGTGGCATCTTCTTCAGTCTGATTGGGGGCTTATTCCTGCATGTTCTTCCGGGTACGGTTCTTCTGGTAATCTCCGGGATTGGATGGCTAATGGCACCGCTGCTGTTCGCCATCATGCCGCACGGGGCTAGCTACTGGCCTTATGTGTTCCCGGCCATGATCTGCGGCACCTTGGGCATGGATGTCACCTATAATGTCACCAATATCTTCGTGACCACTTCTCTTCCCGAGCGACAACAAGGGCTGGCCGCCGCCGTCGCCAACAGCGTTCTGTTCCTGGGCATCAGTTTCTGGCTGGGGTGGGGTGACTTTACCTCGGCGCAGGTCCATGGAGACTTGCGCGCGAGATACCAGGCTGCACTTTGGATGGCCGTGGGGCTGGCCGGGTTGGGACTGATCATCATGGTTCTCTTCGTAAAGATCAAGCCCGCCAAGAGTGAAGTGACGGTGGATGAGAAGGAGGGGGGCTCGGCAGGCTCGGGAGGCTCGGGAGACACGGAGTTGATGCCGAAGCAGGAGACAGACATTGGAGTAAATGGACGGGATGGGAATGACCTGCAATAACTGTGACAGGGCTCATCCATTGTTCCTATCAGCTGTGGTTGACATGAATATGTCAATCATTATTTCACCCTCAGAACATTTGTTCCAGCTATCAGGTCCGATGGAAAGGTCTTGTAATGGAAGAAATAGAACCTCTTAGAGTATTTTTATAGATATTGTCTACCTCCAAATATGGAAGGTTTTACCAAACTCTAGTACAGCTTGGCATGCATTCTCGTACACTACGTATGAGAATGAAAAAAAATGAAACCTGATACCCCATAAGGTTGTGGATTCATTAGACGAGTATTCGATCAACAAGAAGAAAGTATCTTGTGATATGGAAACTTATATATATAATAGATTCTAGCAACCCAAATATTCAATCAGATGGGTTATCAACCATGTGAATTGACTAGGGTGCTAGGAATATAACTATGCACACTCAGAATTATATATAGTTCTACCTTTACCATATGCTGACAGCAAATGTTCCCATGAATCATATTGAGCTAACCACTTAACTATCTCTAACTAAACAGTCCATTATCCTCTAATTCAGAATATATATATAACTTGAAATATTTCCTTTCATGGATCACTGCAGGGAGTTAGCGTGCTTCCCACACTTATCCTGGTTTATCGGGTTAGTGATATATACGGGGGTAGAGTATTCGGAGTCTGTAGTAGTATCTGCCAGGTAGCGCCAACGCTTCGTATCTTAGAGCTTTGAATTCTCAAAAGATTACGGAGAATAATAACCTTACTGTGTATTCAAGGGGTATTTACAACCTTATGATTTTTCTTTTGAAGATAAGCATATCGGCTAATATCATAAAAGCCTTGGTCGCTCTCTAGGTGCGCTTTGAAACATGGAGCGCCTGCCTTCCAGCCCATTCGGCAAAAAACCACATATACACTTAACTTGTACGCTTGCTCCTAGGGCCCTTTCCACCAGACGCTTTAGGGGCCGTCATGAAGTAGGGTATTTACATCTACAGTCAGTGATATTATCATCAAGTTGAGGCTTTTGTATGTCTATTCACTTAACGATGTGTATTGGAATGACTGATATCTTGCAGCTCCACCAGTGTGTCCAATCTATGGTACCAACTTAGTACTCGGATGGGCGACCGGGCGGGCGATCGAGTCAGGCGGGAACTACGTGGCGCTGCATAGACGCGATTGCCGGCAGACATAGAAGACCATAACATCATGATATATTAAATCAAAAACATATGTTTTATTGCCACCTGCTATATTTCTATTACTAAAGAATACTACTTGTGCAGCTGCCAACATACCACGTTGCGCAAGGGATTGCCCTGACTAAGAGACACGGTGAAGAATGCTGTGTCCGTGCTGCACATCTCGGTCTGACACGGATGGCGAAGATCATCCATCCCCCACACGCTGAATTGCTTAGCATCTGCAGGGCTCGGAGTGGGGCCGAATTTGAACACAGTGCTGACCCTCTCATTAACCACTGCAAGGGAGTGAGAGAAAGGAGTTCGGTGTTTTCCGTAGTAGGGCATGGTAGACCGCAGACGTACCAAATAACCAACACTTATAAAGTATTGTTTGAAATGTGGCAAGCATCATCTCAACACAATTCCCTCCCAAACAAACAACTTCCATCAATCCATCCCTTGCAAATCCACCACCACCATGACCAACACTCAGTTCGGCGAAGAATGCGACATTGTCGCCGTCCTTACCCCCAAGCCGGGCAAGTTGGACCGAGTGCGTTACCCTTCATGGTGTCTGCAGGCATTTGGTCTGGTACCCTATGTCTTTTCAATTTACTGACTTCGTCTTGAACGTAGGTGGCTGAACTCCTCACCAAACTCACCGCATGTGTCAAGAAGAATGAACCCGGGGTCTTGAGCTTCCACTTGTACAAGGACTTTGACCGGGAGACCGGTCAGGAGGAGCTGGTTCTGGTCGAGAAGTAGGAATCTCTCTATCTCTTCACATGGAGTGACCTGGTCGCACTCATGCTGACTGGACTAGATACGTCAACAAAGAGGCATATGATCTCCATGCTGAACTACCCGACTTCCAAGCCATGCATGCTACCTTTCGCGCTGAGGAGCTCATGGCCAAACCCATCTTGATCAAGAGTGTGAAACCATTGGTGGGGTTTGAGCGGAGCTAGGTGAATGGCTGCCGCTTATGCATAGTTCGGAGGGGGTCTCCGGCAGTAGTATAGAGGTAGATAGATATAAATACTATCGCCCACTTCCCATTAATTATGACTCTCGTGTAGGAAAAGCTCCCGACACTATCTACCCTCAATCCTCGTTCTACATTCCTACGTCATATTCCTATCTCAGTACCGAAGAGTGGACTCCCAGTGAAGAGCATAGTCAAAACCATGAACATCCGCACAGTCGTTGAGGCATTCTGCGCCGACTTCGCTAATGGTACCCACCCTACCACCATCCTCGACACGCGCTTCACTAGCAATCCTGAAATCTACGAGTACGGTCCCGACTGGGCGCGATCCCGACTTCCCTACCTGGGACGGTCCTGGACTGGAAGACGATCTTCATCTACACCGTCGTCCGAGGAAGACACCACCTGTGATGCCTACTTCGACGTTCTTGGACAGACGCTCTTCTTCGAGCCAGACAACCGAGAGCCGACGTCGCCGCCTGATCAGTTCTTGGTCTCAGCATCAGATGGAAATGACGATGCTGTCATGGTCAAACTGACCTCCACAGTGGGAAGCATCGCAACTGGGAAGAAGTGGGTGGAGACATTTGTATTCTTGTTTGGGAGGTTCGATGCGCAGGGTAAAATTGGCAAGTTGGAAATCTGGTCGGATTCGTTGAGCGCTTGGGTCAATTCTGAGTAACTGGTTTCGTTGTGCACTTCTTTGAGATGTGTCACTATGGCTTCAATGGGCTCAATTTACGAAGTTCATAGGTACCGTTATCAACTCTAGAAATATATCATATTTTGAGATATTCACTCCAGCTAGGGTCAGCGAATTCTTCGCCTCTTCTTACTGAGTCGTCTCAGACCACCATCTCTTCCAACCATCAATGATCTTTTTTGAGACCAGGTAGATCGAATACACATACATTTTCCCCTACGTCTTGACATTATACTAGATACGAACAGTTTGAGGCATCATATTTGATAGACGGTACAGGGTCACACTGCTCAGTTGAATTTTACGCCCTCGAACGCAACTGTTAACTGATTCCCCCTTGGTCCCGAAATGAAGCCGTCCTCCTGCTCAATTCCCTCGTCATTTACAATATGTGTGCGGAAGTTGGCGTAGATAGCTGCCACCACATATTTCAACACTAAAGCAGAAGAGTTAGCCAAGGGAACCGCGGTAGCGGCAGCGGTAACACTTACAGTACAATGCCAAATTACTCCCAATACACATGCGCGACCCACTGGAGAATGCCCAGAACCAGCGCTCCTTCTTGTCAGCGCCTTCCAGAGTTTCTGAAAGCCAACGCTCTGGATGCCATTCATCTGGGCGCGGGAATACTGCGGGATTGCGATGCAGGCTCCACGCAGCCGCACTTACGCGTACTCCTCCGGGTATGTTTTCATACGGACCCAGCGTGGTTTGGTTATTCGCCGGCGTAATCCGTGGCTGACTGCCGGCCACCGGGGCGTGTAGTCGCAGGGTCTCCATAATGACTGCATTTAAGTAAGGCAGCTCGTCCACATCCTTTGCCTTGGGCAGCGTGTCATCCCCCGTCCTCGAGGCAGACCATGCAAATGCTTCAGGACCCAGCTTGCTGCGCAACTCATCCTGAAGACGCGCCAATGCCACCGAGTTCTGCGACAGCTGCCACGTCACATACAGCAGGGTCGTTGCCACGGTGCCATTGTTAGCAATAAGTTGATCCAGCAACTCGCTGGTAACCTGCAATTGCTGCGGGGACCGCGGTGTCCGGAGAGTCTGTGCTGCATTTCCATCCATGCCGGTGGAGACATCGTCACCGATCATGGGATTCTGGGTAATACTGGGTGTGGTAGACACGCCCTCTTTCTCGGTGCTCTGACGGAGTCTCTCGTATACTACCGGAAGGTGGCCCGGCTCCAAGGAGGACCCGCCTGCCTTTTTGGCTAGCATGATCTCTGCGCCATCACTCATATTGAGACACCAAGCAGCAATATGATCATGTGCAAGATGTCGTGACCGGGGAACAGGGGAGATTCCAAGTTTCTCCAGCCACGCAGTGAGACCGGGCAACTCCTGCAGCCAGAATAGCGACACCGGGTGTTGGTCGTCCAAATACAGGTTTTGCCAACGGGCGGCGGCTGTCAGGTCAGTCACGAACTGGGTGCCGGCCGACAGGCCAAAGAAGTATGAAGTAGTCAGATCCATGGCGGTTGCTTTGTAAATGGGATAAATATCCATTGGCTTCTTGGCGTTGGCATGGTTGGCGAACTGCGGGAGAAGTCGACGTTGCACTACCTCCTGAATTATGGCCGTCGCGTCGGGCGAGGCTTGTAAAAACGACTTGGAATAGATGTTCGAGATACGCTTCTTCCGCATCGCATGTTCAGGAGAGTGTAAGGAGGAGAACATATTCAACGCTCTGTAGAGAACAATAAGTCAGCAGCGCGACGATACTAGGACAGCAACTCAACGAACCCATAGTTCACGAAGACGGTATAGAATGGCGGCTTCTCAAAACCCTTCCCGTACACTGTCTTGATGCCATCGTTCACACAGTTGATGCTGACCTCGTTTGGCGCCAAACGGACGACCTCGCCATGCTGCTGATGTGCTTGAAGAACCGTGTTATTTTCACGAATCCGATACCTCGCCCACAAGATCCACAGGGATGTGTATGGAGCCAATGGGTGAGCGTTAGGGATCTTCGCCAGTGGAGAAAGAAAGCTAGGGTAGATAATGAAATGGTACAAGAACAAGACCACCAGCGCGATGCCTGCACACGCAGGGACGCTGGGCAGGATACTGGCTTCCATCGGTATAATTGTGCCAGCAGGTGTAGGATGTAGGGGAGGACTAGCTAGTTATGATGAAACTGTACTGCCATATGCTGTGATCAGAATTAAAAATAAGTTGGCAAACGAATATGCAGACGACATCACGCAAGCTGTCGGACATCGATATAATAGCGGCAGCACCTCTCGGAGGCCTCCGAGAGGTGCAGATTCATACCAAGATCGTCGTACAACGTACTGTCGGCTATATGCCGCCCCCGAGCATTGTGCGGCTAGCTGAAGTAGTGTTAATGCTTTGCTGATCATTTAGTACCCCCCAGCTTATGGGGGGAGGAGGTGGCTGTGCCTTGACATATGTTTCTGGTCAGGAGGAGGTGCATTGATCAGCCCTAGGGCATTAAGCAAGAACAATCAGCCCTGGCGAAGTCAGTGTTGCGCGTTCAAAACACCAGAAAAGGAAAGCCAAATGTCTATCCTGACTTCTTACATTCCAGCGAGAAAAAACAACGCATCTTCAGCCAGAGGATGAGGGTCGGAAGCTTCCGCGGTATGCAGTTCCACCACGAAAGCCACGCACCCTACGGCGCTGGGTGTGTGGAGATCTAGGATGTCAGTTCAGCTCCTATAGTCAATTTGTTTGTTGCGTTACACAGTCGATGCTTAAAATGCCCTGTGTTGTGGACCAAGTTCCAGTCTTCGAGGACATGTCCAACTGAACTTCCTACGATTTCTCCGAGACCTTCAACATCAACCCATAACCGACCTGAATCATGGCTGCTGGGACAGTTGTTACGCTGGACATGGCAAAGTTCTTCCTTGGGAGCGAGGAAGAACGAGCCCAATTTTCTCGCGACCTGTTGCAATGCTTTGCGAGCCAGGGGTTTGTTAAGCTGATCAACCACGGCGTCCCTAATGCTGCCATCGACAAGGCATTCGAATGGGTAAGAAATCTTCTGATCAATTTGGGTAACTCGCTGAAGGAGGTGGACTAATGGAACTGAGCAAAAAAAGAACCGTTCCTTTTTCGAATTGCCCCAGGAGATCAAGAAGAAGTATCCTCATCCGCCCTGTGCCAACCCCAACCGTGGATGGGTTAGCCTCGGGCAAGAGAAGAGCTCGGCGATCAAAGATTTTGAGAAGGGGGTCTGTAAGGAACACAAAGAGGTCTTCGATGTCAAGGTAGGCAGTACAGCTCTCTCTCCACCAACAGTTCTCATGCGTCTTGGTGTGCTGACCCGCCGATTCGGTAAAAAGGAGTCGTTTGATATCGGAAATCCCGAAGACCCAATGTATGCCAACATATGGCCGGACGAGAGTGAGGCACCAGGTTTCCGCTCTTTCTTCGAAATCTTCTACGAGCTTCTTCACGTGGCTCATTTGAACATTCTGAAGGCGCTGGAGATGGCCTTGAGCACCAAAGACCAGCCATTCGAGGTTATCAAGCACTGTATGCCCAATGTCAGCGAAATGCGCTTGAATTATTATCCCGCGGTTGATATCCGTGATCTGCGATCCGGCCACATGAGCCGCATTTCGGAGCATACGGACTTTGGGACCGTCACCCTGCTCTTCCAAGACTCCGTCGGAGGACTGGAAGTTGAGGACCAGGCCAACTTGGGCACCTACTTCCCCGTGGAGTGCGAAAACAAGCATGTCATGCTCGTCAATATTGGGGATAGTCTGCAGCGGCTAACGAATGATTACCTCACGTCGGTCAGCCATCGCGTGACGCTGCCCATCTCCGCACGGGAGCGAGAGGAAGGACAGCTGAAGGAACGCATGTCCGTTACGTACTTTGCCAAGGTGGCTCGTGATAACTCTATTTACCCCTTCGGCCAGTTTGTGTCCGAGACCAACCCGGCCAAGTATCCCCATATGACGGCGTATGAGTGGAACCAGATCAAGTTGGAAAAGATCTACGGAGCCTGTTAGATGGAAATGCCCTTCTTGTGGCAAGAGACAGAGGCAACCGACGGAGAGCCTGAATGAAAGGGAGTGTGGCCCTGAACCGGAAAGGATAGATTGTGCAGGTCATTGGCGTGATTCATTTTTTTGCAATGTTTGTTACAAGATGCGGGCGAATGTTTAAAAGTCATAGGGCCAGAGTGTATAGTTTATTATTGAGTACCCAGTCCTAGCAGCATCTTTATCAACGATTTCGGTCATACTATGATACTCCTCACCAACTATGTACTCATAAGGCTATCTTCCTTACTGTGCTGAGATATGGGATGTTCTTAGGAAGCCTACGCAACATAATGGATTTGGCGATGTAAGTTTCCGTAGTCTGCGCCCACTTCGCTCACACGTAGATTACCATGTAAGGCTATAAATCCTTGATCAATGTCTAGGATTGGATGTCCTATACTGAGAATTATTTTCAGTTGGGTAGCCAAGTGGCAGGCAGTTACTTACCAGGGGAGATTTCGTGTAGTGAAGCCAAAAAATCCCACTTGAGTGCTACTCTGGATTAGCAGACATTTTCGAGAATCTTTTCATTCTTGGGATTCATTTCTTCTCTCAACACTGTTAGGACTATAAGGACTGTTTGTATTTAATTCTATTCCAGGTGGAATAAAGGCCTTTGCATAGATACCGTATCACATGGAAAATATATATAAAATCGAATATATAAACTGAAGCTACTAGACTATACTACGTTTCATTTATTTGTTTTTTTTTTTTTTTTTTTTTTTCTCTTTCTCCTGTTCAAATGCGTTTTCGTGGAACTCTATTCCTGGATGTTACCAACATCTAGGGAGGTCTTCCTTTCTTCTTACTGTTACCAATGGGTAAGAGTCATTCATACTGCAGGAAAATTGGTCGGGGCGGGAACTGTGTTAGTTATGCAGAGGAATATTAGTAAGAGGATTATGCACTGGTTAATACCACTCCTTCGCCGACTGTTTAAGAAAGTCCAGTTGGGCATCCGCCTTGGCAATAACTCCAGGACCAAGAGAAGGCCTTTATCAACTGCAACGTCATTGGTGCCTCCAATGTCCACGCCTCGACGTGCGAGCATACCTGCAGATAAAGGTGCGTATGTATACCCCAACATCCCCTCCCTCTCTTCTTGGCCAATCCTTTAAGATATTAACCGGAACCAAGACTGTCCCAAGTGCCGTACCCGTCGCATCAAATGCGACAGATCGGTCCCAGCATGCCGGAAATGCACCACACGTGGATTTCGATGTCCAGGATACGGTCTCATTCTCCGATGGGGCCAAGGAGTGGCTAGCAGAGGTAGACTGGCGGGCAGGCAGCTACCTCTACCATGCTCCCCTACTATTGCCCACTACCCTGATGCTGTAACTTCCGAACTCATGCATCACTACCATCAGATTGTGTCTGCCAAGCTCGCTTGGGTGGATGGCCCGACGAACCCCTGGAGACAGGTCATCATTCCACTGGCGGGGGCATCGTCGACTGTCCTTCATGCCATGCTCGCACTTTCGTCGGAAGATCTTGCTGCGCGTTTCCCGAACGACCATCCGCGTCACCAGCAGCTGCAGGTCGTCTCTGTATGCCGCCGGGATCAGGCCTTGGCTTCGGTGGCTCAGCTCCTTCGCCACATGAGGCAGGAAGGCATTTCCTCCAACCAGGCCCAGTGCGCACTGGCCGCCACGCTCATCCTCTATAACGTCGAACTCCTCGGCGCTGCATCGGCTAAGTGGCGGATGCACTTGGAGGCCGCACGTGTGATCCGCCAATGGAAGGAAAACACACTGATGGATGCTGGACGCACGGACGAGATCGATGCCTTTTTAATCTACGAGCAGTACTACGCAAGTGTATTTGCTAGCCTGACAACTTTTGATGCCCCCGGGGAGTATGAAGCTATTCCGCTAAATGATTCAAATGCCATATTTAGCGACTTTGTCAGCATAATCAGTCGAGTGACACATGTGGAGCGCTTGCAATGTAGCCATGACTATGCGATGGATTTTTCATTGCTTGACACGATGATAGAAGATTTGGAAGCCGCCAAGGTCCGCATGCTTGAGCTCAGCCTTAGACTTTGCTGGCAAACCGACCAGGGCTGTCTAAGTTTTCAGCATCTGGTGTGTATCTTTTACTACGCCAGCCTGATTTATGTCCACCACGTCCTCGCCAGAAATGGTTCGCCAGATATGATACGCCAATCTTGGAGAGATTCCATCTTTTTTCATCTCACCCTCCTCGTTGACAAGCACTCATTCGCTCATGACCTTGTGTGGCCGCTATTTATTGCAGGCACCGAGTGCCGCGGGTGCTCGCAGAAACAGGAGGTGGTCGCACACGAGATTGAACTGGTTATGGAGGTCAGCGGCACATTGGACCGACGCAACGTCTTGTCCTTCCTGAAACGCTTCTGGGCATTGCCAGAAAGTAACCTCACGTGGATCCAGTTCCTGAGGCTGGCACCGGAGCGACGGATGCTTATTCTATAAGGTCGCCTACTATACCGGGCTAGACATTTGGAGAACATCCTCCACACTTCTCCCCGAAAGCTTGGCTTCCTTTCGGGCCTTACGGAAGCGAATGCGCCAAATGATGTGGCTGAGGTAAATCCCCAGCTCGAGTACCACACTGGTCACTGGTTAGATACTCTAATCATATACCGCGAGGCAAGCAACGGACTCACACGACGATATACATAACCCCGCCAAGGATATCAAATGACCCTTGTGCCACTGTTGGACTCCGTTAGCATATCACGCAATCCAAGGTATAGCAGCCATACCAAGAGCGAAAATTGAAAACAGCCCTCCCAGCGTGTCGATGCATAAGAAGACCCAATCTATGTCGGTGAGAATTCGTGTCTTCGCCCTCGGGGAAACCACGTACTTATTCCAATTACTCGGCCTTGCCTTTTCCCCAATTCGAAGTAGATTGGTAGCATGCCGCCGGCGAGAAGTACTGTGGCTATCGCGCCCACCAGGATATCCGGCCAGGTGATGCCCTTATTATATGGGATCTGCGGCCAGGATCGAATTAGTTATGCAATATTGCCTTGAGCAGGTTGACCAGCCATCATGCCCTTAGTGTCAAGATGAGTAGGGCTTCGACCCCACCCATGATTACTAGGAGGCCAACACACGCCAATGTGGCCTTCTGGGAAGTGTAACTGCTGCTCTTCATGTCAGTATACTGACGTATGTGCCGGTTGAGCCTAGATACTTCGACTCCTAGAGTCAAAGCATAATTAAGTCTTACTGGTCATAATGTAGAATCTGAGCCCAGATGATGGCTGAAAACGTCCCGAAAATCTGAGGCTGGATTTGCATCGGGAGATTGACTTCCTGGCGTATTTGATTGTGAGCATCTCGACTCAAGCCATTATCTGTACCTGAACGGCAAATTGAAGTATATTGTTTACCTGCAGGATCAGATACACGCCCATGGGCACAGCACCTGACAGAAATCCAGTCAGTATTACTAGAAGTGGCAGTCCGGTCTTTAACGGTACTAATAGCGAATATTACTAGTACACTGATATATATATATACATATATAGATAAATAACCAGCACGGGGGAGGGGGAGAACTGATCCGTACAAACAGCCCACAAGAACCCCATTGCGGGAGGCAGCCCTTCTGTTTTCTTCCGTCGCCAGTTATACCATATCTGGGGGACAAGCTGGATACACCAGAAAACAGTGCCGATCGTGCCAAGAACATTGGATGCCGGGGTGGCGTCGGTTGATGCGGACATGGGCGGAATGATGGGTGATCAATTTGATTGTAGGAGGGAGGGCAACCTTGGGATGCTTGGATGCTCATTTGAAAGACGGCATTAGCAAGTCTGAATTCGGCGTTCACCACTCTTTTCTACCCATCGCTCGCGGAAACTCCATGTCCCTAGGGTAGATATCTAGTTTGTGCCTCCAAACTCTGGAGATCGGAAAGAGTGGGGCACGGTAACCAGAATAGGCAAGTCGGGTGAGAAGAAGTTCTAGAACCATATAACATATCAGAGATTGAGAGATAGCCCATAAGCCTTCCAGGACACACGAGAAGTGAGCTGTAGCATGAGACATTGACCCGCACCTGGCCTCATCGAATTTGATTCACGGACGCATTCATCTGCAATTTGCACTATCCGGGCATTGCAAACCTTGTGCTGTCATTGCTGGTACGCGGGTCTGGCTCTCTGAATGACCCGCATGGCACGGCAAGTCCCTAGAAATAAGCAATGTACCAGCTGTACCGGGTCGAAGACCTCTTATATTGTTAATTTATCCATAGTCAACATCATGCACTAAGAGGTTGACGGTAGCTAGGCTGTAAATCTAATATACTACAAACGGCTCTATTGTCCTAATCCTGCTGTGAGGCCGTGCTATCTGTTTCCTGCCACCGTCAACCGACTTGGAGTGCCCTCCTGAGAAATAAGATAGCGAACCAGGGACAGTATTTTCCTCTTCTAATATAAAATAGGACTGGAACACCTTCTACCAGTCACACAATCAATCCTTTATTAGCCCCAAAGGCTATGAATGAAGTACGGCTCGGGGGTAATACTACTGAATCGTACACAGGCATGGTCCAAGTCGATGTTAGCTTGGGTTTTATTAATTAGCGTATTTTGAACCAGTCACATTTCTGCCTGTAAAACAATCAAGTTTTTAGTTCCCTTGATGAGAATCAGTTATGGGGTGCTATTGTGACAGCATTTAAACCCTGTCTTCTCTCCCCAGTTGCTAAGTTATCGTTGATTAGCTTTGTGATCGGGCCATCGTTATACCTATACATTGACGTTCGACCTACAAACTATCCCAACACTTATCGACTGGTGTGAAGTCCTTTCAGTGTAGTCAAATTCCTCGCTCGCTGTGGGTGGAGGCCATGGTCACTTTGGTTAGGCGGGGGAGATGCAAAGATGGGCTTTCAACTGCTCAGTGCGATACACATATGTTATCAATATTATTCTAAACTATATTTGAGATTGGAGAAGCACAAATGAGAAGATATGAAACTATCAACCTTGCACATATTGTGGAAACAAATGTTGGTTCTCACTTTCACACATGCAATAGCACGATTGCTCGCCCCTCCCAAGATGAGCCGAGATGTGTGCCTCCTTTACTTCCCCATCACTTACGTCCGGGGTCACGTTCCACAATGAAGAAGGGGGTCAGATTCCTTCTTGAGCAATTTTGACCGATAATTTTGTCTGAAAGCTCGGTATGACTGTCAAAGCGGTTGTACTTTGCTACGCCAGCGGCACGCTGCTTTTTTATTCGGCTCCCCTGTCACATTATGACGTCTCCACCGTCAGGGTCGAGACACTGCTTAAGGATGGTGCTCAAGAGCAGTCGGTTCCATACCTTCTAGATAGTCCTACAAACCTCTTCATCGTGAATGGTACTCAAGGTGGGAATCCGGAGCTTTCGCCCCGCTGTCCGAAGCCCGCATCGCACACATTCGATCAACTCCCTTGCCCAATACCTGGCTTCAGCGCCTGAAGAAGTCGAATCATATGAAACAAATAGTTTGCATATGAGGAGCGACGAAACAATGGGCGGGTCAATGAAGAATCTATAACCAATCCCAAATTGTTCCCAGATCTTGACATGAACCATGGATAACTGAATCCCAGTTGGAACATCTGGTGATACCACGCAGTAGTGCATATACCGGCATCTTGTTTGATGTAATATGCCCTGGAATTCGGAATTGCACACTGCTCCAAACTGCCGAAAGCACTGAGAACTAGCAGCTTGTCATGCAGACATTCGGCTCAAGCCGATCGCTGATCTCTAAGCATATCGAGTAAGCAACAGGCATTGAGGTTAACTAGTTAATGAGCGATGAGCGAAGCAGCTGAAAAATGGTTTATCAAGCTAGTGGAGATGCCATCGGGGTTTGCATCGATCGGCACAGGTTCAGCCGCACGGCGGCCACAGTAGTCGGGCCCTAGCTCGTCAGCACTAGCCACACTATCTATCTCGGTGTACCCATTAGTTCCAATCCATGACCAGCCTAAGCTAAAAATGAATCTATCGCGTTTTCGACTCGTCACTGAAGAGAACCAGATGCACGGATCTGCGTGCCAATCCCCGGATTTCCAAGTCTAGTGGTATTTCAGGCTTGGAGATGGGCAAACTGCATCGCAAGTGGCGGTCCCTTTGCAGTCTCAAATTTGCGATGCTTCTAGATTTGCACAGCATGATGCTAGACAACGAATCTATGACGGCTCCACAATATGCAAAATTGCATGACCGATCTGGGAGGAATCCAGCTGCCCCCAAAATGTACAATGCACACTTGTCCGGAGCTCCTCTATAGTTTATGGCGCTAGTTGTGAGGAAACTGAAGTGTGCGACCGTCCGACTATATAGTTGGTGAGGTATCCTCGGTGGCATCTTTCTCCTCAACCATCATATATCTTTTATATCGCATAACCATAGGACGGCTGCAGACCTTCATCGCCCAACGGCTCTTCAATATTACCACCAGTGGCCATCATGCATTTTCTGCTCCTCTTGTTCTTGGGGTTGCTGCAATTGGTTTCTGCAGCCAGATCCGGCACCTATTATGCCGGTTGGCCTGTCGGTGATAGTACATGGAAGGCGACCGATTTCGTCTTTCAGCGAGAGACTGGCATCTCTAGGTATCGCCTGTTCCAGGCTGACGGAATTATTTATAAGTATCAGCTCGATTTTGAAGTCACCGAACGACAAGGCGAATACGCAAGTACCTACGTGTTTTTTGACTCAGAAGGAGACGAGTATTACAAGGTGGTCTTTGTCACCGGCACTCATACCCTCAACTTTAATAGTGGGGACCCTTATATTCAGCAGGTCAAGGTGGTCGAAGATTAGTGAGTACATGCTACAACCTACCCCAGCCATACCATGGCTGATATGGATCAGAATGACCTCCCCGTCGTGCTGGACTGAATAAGTTCATACTTGCTTGATTGGGTACCCCCCAATCCTGGCACATATCACCAGAAGGATGTGCTTTGGTGCTTGGTACTAGTGGAACGAGAGGGAGTTCTTGGGTAGAGATCGGATGCCGGATGGCCACAGCGGAAGATAGGCCAAGAGGGAAGGACAATCAAGCTGTGGGGACTGGTTGGGAGACGTAGTAGCGATTGTGGTTCGAAATATGGCGGGAGGCCATTTGTTCTTGGGATAAGGAGCTCGCAAACACAGTCGTGATTCTGTTGGCATTATCAGTCACACCACGGACTAGAAAACCTTTCTCGTAAAACCTTGATAAAAACACTGGAAATAGCATAGGCTCTGAATTGCTAGTGATGGCCCAAAGGCAGAACATACATGGAGCGCCCATAAAGGCTCTCTCTTCAAGGCCACTGAGCGCCAACCTTGCGGCACCTACGCAAGCAAGTAGTCTATGAACACTTTGCCTAAGCCTCAAGACGGGCCGTCTTAGCCGTTCAATTCAGTACTCTTCTCATTTCGACAACACACTCCCCATTGGGTGGGTACGCCTCAAAGGTTATTTGCAGGCCTGCAAAAGCCGCCAGATCCCTCCACTCGGCGCGGGTCCGTTCGCGGCCAGCATGCATCAAGATCATCGCGGCGTGGGTGGTCGAACTAGCTGCATTCTTCGTAAACTCCTGAATGAGCAGACGTGAAGATGGAACCATGACCCTGGCGACCTTGGCCAACAGCTTGATGGACTCAATATCCGACAGATTGTGGAGGACGTGAGCCATAGAGTACAGCAAAGCCCCCTTGACAGGCTGCTCGCTGCCATCCTCCTTGTAATTCCAGGCCATCTCTGTGACCTCGGGAACCACGCCAATGTCGGCGTTATACTCCTGCAGAATGAGGTTGTCCTTCTTGAGTAGGTGCGGGTATGCCCCTTGCATCTCCAAGAGAAGCTCACCTCGGCCACCGCCGATGTCAACGACCTTGAGCTTCTCAGGAGCTGTGGAGTGAACCAAGCCGTCCAGATCATACCCGAGCTTGCGGACGCGATCAGGCATGGTGCCCCAGCGACCAAACTTGCCTGTCATGAAAGTGTTGAAACTATCAAGGCGACCTGTGTGATGCATCACTGAATACACATGTTCCCGAGCCAGGAAGTCATTGCCCATAAGTTTGTGTGCATACTGAAACGGGGTGTCGCACTCCTGGAACGGATACTCAAACTTGGTATCCATCAGGCGCCGCATGAGGAATGCCGATGCCAAAAGTCCCTCAGACGTACTGAATAAAGAGAGAACCTTCCAGTCAGCTACCGACATCACAGGTTGACAGTGTTTCGCAAGGGATTCCTACAAATGCATGGCTCCATGCTGGGCCGAGGGCGTTTCCACTAGAAATTGGGTGACGTCGTTGGCCTGGTACACATCGTCTGGAAGAAGGTCCAAGAACCCCAGCCCTCCCATGAGAAAAAGGGTATCATCTGCGGCATAGTCAAACTTTGTGAACATTTTTCAGTCATGTAAGCCATGCAAAAACAACATACTGGCCAGAGGCACCGCTGCATTCGGATTGGATTCCATGGTCAGCTACACAAACTTCCCACAAAAGAAGGTATTCCATGACATACACAGGTCGGTATCACCATATTTGGTGTGATGGAGTCTACAGACATCCTGTGCGGTGGCTGGTTTACCAATGTCTTTCAGGCATCCGAAAAGGTCAAAATGGACAGCGATGGGCACGAACCCCAGAGCAGGGGCCTGGCAGAGGGAGGACGTGAGCAAGACCATGGCATAAAACCACGAAAACTAAATGTCACTCTCAGTGAGGGATAGGGGATTGACGTACCAAAGTGACAGTGCTCAGGACCTTCTTCCCAGATTCAGGGATGGGGGAATTATGCGGAGCGGCCATTCCTGTGGCGATTATGAAACTCAGCTAAGACGGCCTTTGGTCAAAGTTCGGAGTTTTGGAAGGACAGAGGCTTGGGTATACCATATAAATATAGGGAAACCCCAGTAATCTGTTTATATCAATCGTGGTTCCACAGCCAGACATGGCCTTTCCCCTAGAGATAAAAAATTATCACGCCGTTGACGATCATCTCCCAGCGATTCCAGAGCGGGTGCATGGGGGCATGCAAATCTACCGCGAGGCTTATCGGATGACAGCCTCGACCAATCAATATGGGTAGGATGCCCGGCATAAGCAGAATCAGACTGCCCATACCAAGCCACAAATATGTCTTGAGCCCCTGGCAGGTGCTGTTGATAAGGTCCTCCTAGGGCCAGACCCGGTGTGCGGGAATAGTAATTGCGGTCTTTTGCTTGCATTGGCGATAGGAAATTCTGAATCCCCATTCACCATCACCGGGGGAATTGCAGGCCACCACTGTGGGCGGCACGCATTGTGACACCCGGCCATACTACGGTCTGACTCGCGCAGTCAGTAGTCAGCTTACACTTGATACAGCAAGGTCTCCGGCGTTCAAACATTGGGTAGCAACATGATGGCTGATGAAGGTGATGATAATTTCTATAGAACTAAAATGTGGTGACTGACACACCACGTTATGCGCAATCCTTAGATTGCCCCACTGGGCTGTGCAACGCAAGGGGCAATGATTGTCGGGTATACTTATTAGTCTAGAGCGATGGTACATTCTCCCCTTGGTACGCCTCGATTCACGGAAAATAGCATGCCCTGTGCCCACCCTATCCGCGTCGTCAAATGTACGACCAAATTCTATTACCATTTGTCCGATTTTCACACAATTCCTAATACTACCAGGGACAGGATACTACCTGGATGTCTATACACTTGTTGGATTTGTAGCCTGTCACTCACCCGACGGACAATGGCAAGCCAATCCTCCAGCGTCCTCTCCAGTGTGTTGGTGAACTGGTGAAGCAGTAGATCATTGCAGCGCATCACCCGTTCCTGTGTAGCTGGAATAGAGCCTGTTTCAGGTAGAACTATATCTGCGATAAATATCCTGCTCTTTGGTTGCAGGGCGGGCAAAATGTTGCGAAGAATCTCAACAGCTTCCCGGTCCGGCCAGTCATGGAGAATTTGACGCAGCAGATAGACGGCAGCACCCTTAACTGGCTGCAAGTGGAAGAGAGAGTGGCTCTGAAAGCGGATGCGAGTGGTCACTGAGAGGGGAAGTTCGCGCTCATCCAGTCGCTTGATGCTGTTAACAACTACCTCTGGGCGGTCTTGCACCACAAAGCGTAGGCTCGGAAAGCTTTCTGCCAGGCTTACGCTGACATGTCCCGTAGAGCCGCCTATCTAGAGGTCTTGGTTAAGTCGTGCACGGAAGGGAATATGAGATATAAAGGCTCACATCGACTATGACCCCGTCACCGAGCGATGACCAGTCAAAGACTTTGCATAAATGTGAAGTGTCAAACAGACTGGTAGTGGACACTGCTTTCATGGAATTGGCGAATTCAATCGTGCGGGCAGGATCCTGCGAGATGTAGTCGAAAAAGGAGTCACAATGGTCGAAGGCAAGATTATGCGCCGTCTCATTCAATTTATTGCTTTCTGGCCAAGTAGCAGTGGCATCCACATTTTTTGCGGCAGTTGGGAAAACGGCCTCAGCAAAGTACTGGCCCCAATAAACTAAGCTTGGGTCACCGGCTAGCCTGCGCGACACAGGGCTGTGGCCAACCATTCCCGTTGTTCCGTACTCTTGGAACAACTTACCGGTCATGGCGAGCCTTAGGTAGCTGCGCAAGAGCTTCTGTGGCACATTTGCCATGTGGGACAGCTCTTGGTATGAGATCATGCCCTCCTGTGGCACAAAAGTGTGAATCTTGAAGTGGAGTAACCATCGCACAGCACAGATAAATTGGAGCTGGAAAGTGAAACCACACATTTACTGTATTATCAGCTAACCATCCACATGCATTCGCACAACACCAGATAAAGGAGGCCAAAGTAGGGAAGGACATGCGAACATCAACCGTTAAATTTGTCAGCACATCACCTGGGTCCCGGGTAAGATGCAGCAGCTGAGTTGCGGCTTCTTCCAGCTCAAGTTTGGCCGCGCCAATTGTTGTTGGTAGTGTGGTCTGGTTAGGCAGAATCGATGGGTCGTCGTTGAGTGACTTAAGGTACTCGGCGATGAGGCCGGCACTAGAGGCTACCTGGCTGGCATAGCGTTCCAGTTGGGAAGAGAGACGTTTATCCATCTCGGAGTGTAATCCGGCTGTTAAGTCTTGCTTCTTCGAGGGCAATGAACGGGAATTATGCAAGTCTGTATCGAGCACGAGCGACGAGGACACATAGAAGCCCTTCCAAAAGCTCTGAAAGTGACAGACAGTGTAACCGAAAGAAGAGGGCATTGGCGAGCCATAGCTAGATTTAAAGAGTAGGCAAGGGACGAGAAAAGACAGAGGGCCTAGACACGAACCTGATACGTCAATTCCCCGAATCTCTGAATCAACGATAATCGGCTCGCGATGGTTGCGCACAGCCCAGAATGGCCGAGCCGTGTCTGGCCACAGATAGAGTCAGCTGCTAACATTCTCCGCCCTGGGGTGACACCATTAGGATAACATGCTACATTTGCAACCCCACGAAGCATTCCCGTGGAACACACGCAACCGATCATGTTCGCGCTCTCATACGAGGGTCTTATTTTTGGCTTCCATTGCGGGCATGTCAGTCTCCCCTGCCGATTCAGTTGGCTGTGGTAGCTGACTGCTTTTCTCAAACACTAGTACCCCCGTTCTGGCTACCCAGCCACCGGCTAGGCTTACAGATATTCTGTACCAGTGTCAGGCGCCCCGCATAGTTCAAGCGGAGTCTCGGCCTTTTTGCCCCTGGGCGGAGGTGTGGATTTAGACAACTGTTGAGGGGGCTCCCAGACGAAATTGGTCTCCCCAAGTGTCAGTGAGAGCAAAGACGGATCGTCAGATCACCAAGAACGGCCTCAGCGGGAAGAGGGCGCGGTTATTCCGTAGGCTACAAACTGGTACTGATCACCATTGGGCTCTTCTTCTCCATCTCTTTACATCACTCGATGAAACCATCATGGCCACCGCGGTCCCAAAAATCATCCAGCAGATCCACTCCCTGGATGATGTGGGTGGTATTGAAGTGCTTACCTGCTCACTACCTTCGCCGTGACAATCCGTTTTCGCCGTCTATGCACCTTCTTCCTCATGAAATGTGTTAATATGTGTGCCCTCTTTGTGTTTGAAGTTCACCTTTCCTTCTGCGGCATCACACCGACCTTGCCGGGCCACATCCTGTGCCGCGCAGTGACCGGCCCGGGGGGGAGGGGGACCATTGCCGGGTTCCCTTCTCATCATTGCTCACAGTGGGCCGTCTCAGGGCACCTAATGAGCATACTCGTAGTGGGGAGAGTAATCGCACCTCTGCAAGCTTATAGGCCAGATGGCCCTCCCGTAGCAAAATCAAATGATAGAGTGCAAGGTCACCTCGTAATTTGCCGGTTCTTAGGATGGGCGGGGCCTTCACAATCTACGTCTCAAGGCGCTGGTGTTTCGATATCACTCTTCCATTTGGGTTATTGAGGCCCGTGGTTATCTTCTTCATCTTCCAAAACACCAAGCCTGTCGCACAGATAGGCCTAAGGGAGAACGTGGTTTGTCTTGATCCATTGGGGACGGCCACCTTCCTACCAGCTATCGTGTGCCTGCTGCTAGGACTCCAATGAGACGGTACACAATATCCCTGGCCCAATGCTCGCATAGTTACCTTGTTAGTTCTCTTTGGGGTCCTACTTACTTGCTTTGTAGGGCTGCAAATTAAGGCCCGCTAAAGAGCCACCGTTCTACCGCGACTTTACCGCGGCCGCAACATCCAAATCTCAGCGCTGTATGGCGTCTGTTAAATTGGTGACATGTACACTTTTTTCTACTATCTTCCACCTTGTTTCAGGTGGTTCAAGGGGGCCCTGCCATCGAGCCCGGCATTCGGAACCTGCCGCTCATCATATCCAACGTTATATTGGCTGTCGTTTGCGGCGTACTAGTCAGGATTGCAGGCTACTTCGGCCCCTTTATGCTCCTTAGGGCGGCCATGGCTAGTATCGGCGCTGGGCTGCTCTCGATACTGCATTCAGATTTAGGGACAGGGCAATGGATTGTACACCAGGTGGTTCTGGGAGAGGGCATCGGCATTGGCTTCCAGCTGCCTGTTTCGTCGCGCAGACCACCCTATTATCTATTGATATCTGCACCCCCACGGCCCTGATGACTTGACTTTCATCCAGCTCCTTGGCGGGTGCATCTTCGTTTCCGTTGCGCAAGGTATCTTTCGCAAACGGTTATCGGCAGGAACCTGCAGAGAGTTTATTTGGGTAATATTCGCACGAGTCTAGTTTAAATGAGTAATTACGTCGTGGTGCACACTTTCCATCCAACCATTGGCATATATGCTGCTTCATTCTTCGCTGCAACTGTCATTTAGTGGCGATGATTGAGCAAATCACTCAGCCAGTCCGGCTCCTCTTGAGCCGAACGTTGTATCGGGTCCACCTCATCAGGCGGGAGCCCCTGGATCCTTACGTGACCAAGGAGTTAACATTCATCCCTTGCCGCATGACGTTCTCGAATTGACCATATCCCTACGGTCCCCGTGGTTTTCTGTGTATCTGCCATTCCATGCTAGCCGTGCTCTCTTAACAATTGGGTAGGTCTCTATTGTCTTCTCCGCACAATATACTGCGTCAGCCATATGATTTTTAAATACTTGCCCGCCAGAAAATCAGTTGCAGCGTCTCCAGATAAGAACGGCATTCATGTATAACTCCACTCAAACTATCGTCAATTGTGGTCTGCAAGTAACTGGACTCGTATAGTATATACACTAGAAAATCCAAGCTCATATGACATACCGAGTAGTATTCTGGCAATATTTCAAGATAGAATTTGGGCATTCGGCGAGGACGGATGAGAGGGGTGTATGTGTGACAATAATGGCACCATGATGCGCCCGGAGTCAGCTTTTCCGTCAGTAGTGAGAATAGACAGTCAGCTATTGCACCACCTTCTTATCGGGCTAGACAGGTCGCTTGGCCTTCCTGTGGGCTTGGGCAACATCCTGGTTTGCCGTCTTTGGTCCGACTTGCTGAGCCTCGAAAGTAAATGATGGCTCGGCGCATACGCCAAGCATTTGTTTTCTGTAATAATTAGCATTAGTTATTGTCTTGCGTTGGTTAGGGGCCAAGTTCTCAGGGCCTTCATTTCATCCTAAAATTCCGATCATTTGTCTGCTACTTGATCGGGGTGCATAAAGACGGTTGGTTACATTCACTAGATCCTTTGTGAAAATACGTTATGGGCACTCCACCCTCCTTCTAGAGTAATTATGTGACTTTTTCAGCAACTGAAACCCAATAGATACTAACTTGCGATATCGGACAGGTAGTACTAATGGCCCCACACGGTCTGGCAAAGTAGATAAATCCCGCGCTTTGTGATCTGTCCACAGCTGCCTCGACAAAGCAAGGGGCAACCCCCCTTCCATGTCACCCAGCGAAGGAGGCTTACTGTTTATACATATGGATGGTCTGGACCAGCCCTTGCTACAACCGAGTAGTAATGGAAAGGACGCTACCCCATGGATTAACAGCAGAGCTGGGACTAGAACTGGTGTCACCTCACCCCCGCCTCCTCCCTACATGAAGGTCGTCCCCACAAAAATATGTTAGAAATGAAATTGCGAGTGCCTGAAGACCTATAGTTGAAGAGTGGCCACCGGGATTCGGTGGACAGACGAGCATCATATTTGAGCAACTTCGAGGCCTAAGGCTATGATCTCACAGCCCTAGGGAGCATTCACTTCCCATCAACCACCATTTCCGCCGATGAGCCTAAGAGTACACCATGTTGATCCTCTATCTAGTGCGTGCCATGCGGCACATAATTCTCCGATCTTCCTGTAGCTTGCAGCCACAACTAACCGAGATTATTCGACATACAGCTAGCAGCGGTCATTGTGGGATGGCTGATATACCGCCTCCATCTAGACCCTCTGTCGCGTATTCCCGGTCCTTTGCTGGCCAAGTTTTTCCCGGTGTGACAATCATTGTCGCCGCCGTCCCGTGGTCTTTCTCAAATAGCTAATTCGTTGTACTAGATCTGTAACATTCAAATGGTCCTCACCGGCAGACTGATGTTCACGATCAAAGAGCTGCATGACACTTACGGTGGGCTTAATCTGTTTCCGTTCCCCTCGCCTCTCCCCAATCTCCAGGAAGCTCACCCGGTTTTTCTCCAGGCCCAGTAGTTCGCATCGGACCAAGTGAGCTATCATTCGCAACAAACAGCGCATTCGATACCATCTATGGACCCTATGGTGATAATAACTTCTCGCTTTACGGCAGCCGGAAAGGCCTGTTGGGAAGCCTGGGTGGCATGGCAGATTCTTTGGGCAACTCAACAGAGAAGGAAAATCGCCGAAAGCTACGTCCCCTGGTTGCTACCTCGTTGAATGAGCTGCTGGCCGCCAAAGGCGAGCAGTATTGTCACCTGGCAATTGCCGAACAATTGGCATTCCATCGTGTAGGCCAGACGGAAGCCGCACCCGTCTCCCTGTCCACGTTGAACAATCGGTACCTGTGGCAGTTCGCGAGCATGGCGGCCTTTGGAAACCGCGGCGACGAAGCGGAGCGAGGTAGGTTTCATAATCTACTAATGGGGTCGAGCTTCTCGGCACTAATCGAAGTAATAGTAAGCTTCAATCCTCATGTAGACTGGCTGGACCGCTTCATGTGCTTCCTTGAGACACTCTTGGTCTTTTTCTCACGAGCTACCATTCACCGCCACATAGCAATTACTCTAAGAGTATGGCAGGCCATCTGCTTCATATTCCGACGGCGCGTCCATCCAGGCGAAGTCAACTACGACAAGGATGAATCTGCATTCCCAGATAACCTACACAGTCGGCTCCGGAAGGCAGCTTCGAGGACGATGCTCCCAGTTCCTGATTCCTTATTGCAGGTCAATTGTTTTGTTCTCCGGTAAGCATCGGTCCCAAGCCGGTAGGAATATTGGCGCCCCTAGACTAAACCATCAGCGTAGATTCAGCATATACGGGACAGCGGACAACATGCTGAATGCGTTGTTTTATTTTCTGCTGAAGAACCCACAATGCTTAAGGAGACTGGAGGCGGAGGTCTTATCTGTGGGGGCCGCCGTGGATGAGCTATCGGACGACTGTCTAGCCAGGTTGCCCTATCTCAACGCCTGCATCAACGAAACCTTCCGGATTACCCCAGCCTTTAACGGGGGCATTCTGCAACGGGTGTCTTGCGGCGCCACAGTTGATGGGATCTACGTCCCACCGGGGGTAAGGTCTAACCTTTCTCTTCCTGTAGACTGGATTGATGGAGACACATCACTGACATCAGGCACCTGGCCAGGTTGCGGTGTCGGTAGACCATTATACGCTAGGCCATTCCCCTCAGTATTGGGCAAAGCCAGATGTCTTCAACCCGGACCGGTGGGTCGATCAAAGTTGCAAGGATAACTTCAAAGCATCGCGCCCTTTTCTTATCGGTGCACGCCAGTGTCCAGGGCGACAGATGGCGTACCAGATGTTCCGGGTGTGTGTCGCCAAACTAGTATATCTTTATTCTTTGGAGATGGTGAACAACGACTTTGAGATTGAGCGGGACACCTTCTCTTCATATCATTGGACCGGTGTCAAACTTGATGTGACCATGAAGCCGCGCACTCCGGGTGTTCTCGGCTACTAATTCGCATGGTCTTCTCCTTTGGCTGTGAAATCTTATTGTCAACCTTTCCGCCATCAGACTAACTATCGTTGATTATGTTAACTACGATTGCCTGTTAAATCTTTGCAAGCTATTTGCTCGATGTACTGTGATGTGGTCCCGTGCTAGTGACACATCAAGTGACCTAAATGCAGTACATATCGCAATAATATCAGATTTCTTATATTCTGGGCCCCCAGCCCAGACCCACATTGTTACTTCAGTTGTCCTCTAGGCAATATCATTGAAGCGTCGAAACTCGCATCATACGAAGTCAGATAACAATTTAGCACAATACTATGCTTCCTCCGGCTATCCTCAAGTAAATCCACTCTCCAGGTCCGCCCAGCAGGGTATGAGGATGAGCTTAGAACAAGTAGGAGAGGTTGAAATATAGCACGGGACTTCACTTCTCACCTCAGCCTACTTCACACATAGACCCCAAGGCCGGTTCAGGTGATGTTCTTGGTGGGCCAGAATATAATAGAAATTATCCTCGTGGCAAACTGAGGATTCTGCAAAATGATACCTCCAATGAGATCTCCGGATTGGCATGCCACGGCTGTTGTGGGTGCAATTGACGATGCCTCATGATTTCTCAATTCGTTCTCATGATTGGCCTCTCTGCATACCAATCCGCATTCTTTAGGTGTATGCCTGGTCTTGGCTCCACCTGACATTTTTTACCAGTCAATATTTAAATGCCCCTCCAGTGCAGAAGTCCATGCTAGCTATTCTTGACTACTCGAAGATTCAGCAAAGCCTGTACTCTACTCAGCATGCGTCTCTTGCTGGCTACCATTTCAGCTGGGGTGTTGTGGCTTCCCCAGGTGTTGGGAAGGGCCAACGCGACTGCGCCGAATTATACGGTCGATGAGCTGTGGAAGTTGGAAACTACCTTCTGGGACAACTTCTTATATCCTGCCAATGTTGAGCAGATGGAGGCCATAAATTCCACCTTGTTTACTCTGGATGTATGTTGAGGAGGGTAGTTGTCCGTCCACTTAGTCGCTGACGTCTCCCTGCAGGTACAAGGTCGAGTAGACATCACCCGCGTGTTCAACGGCAGCGAATTGAACACGGAGTATATTTTCGGACTTTTTTCGGACCCTGACCATGTTAGCCTAGTTGGGGTTCCCGTGGACTATAGCATCACGCAGTTCATCGCCCAGGGGAATATAGCATCCGCGACCACTGTTGTCACCTTTAATGCCACCTCGTTCGGCAATCTGCTGGTACCGGTCACCATCGACACGTGGATCATGTGGGATTCCGACGGACGCATTATGCAATATGATGCCACCTTTCGCTGGTTCGGATTTCTGCTGGATACCCTGGTGGAGGCCTTGGCAGAGTCCATCAACGGCACGACCAGCCAGGCTACGGCATCACTGACCCAGATCCTCGCCACGACCATCTGCGCAACGCATGATCAGTACTGCACTGGGTCAAACCAACAATACGATAACAATACGGCTTGCCTCGACTTCTTGACCACGGCGATTCCGCTCGGGAAGGACTACGAGCTAGGTCGCAATACCTTGTTATGTCGGGAGGTTCATGAGCACATGGTACAGTATGATCCGGCGCTTCACTGTCCACATATCGGGCCAACTGGGGGAGATTATTGTGTGAATGATCAAACCTATGCACAAAAGGTCCTTCAGAAGTACTTCAACCAGTCATGGATTGTGGGCGTACCCTCAACCGGGGATATCTGGCTTGGGGACTGATGGTGACTGGCGAACTGCTTGCTGCGCCGATAGTTATTCAGGGATATAGAATACCCCGGACAATGGTAGATAAGGGGAGAATTCACATCACGAGCAATAAACCAGAGCACCCTGGCCTTTCAATAATGGCATTAACTGTAAGAATAAGCCTATCTCAATGTTTTGCAATTTGGCTGAACGGTTCCACCTTCTCCAAGTCTGTCTCTCTAGAACTGCGGCGTCAGGGGCTGCTCTGGCCAGAGAGACTCGTACAGATTACGGGCCAACTTCCATTCCATCTCATCCCAGGACCCATCAGATCTGGCGCATATCAGAACCGAGACTTGTACTAGCCAGGGCAGTGCATCTTTTTACCTAAGACGAAACTGTTTCGGGGCCAAGACGTGTGCCCGCAGCAGGATGCAGCCCACCGCCGTATCATACGGCTTGCTGGCCGTTTTCACGAATTCGAAATTACGAATATTCTTAAGGTGGATTATTAGAGGCTCATGCGACATCTTTGCAACACCGTTGATGTCAATGCCTTCAATCTCATCAACCAGGGGCGGCGTGACATGGTCGTCCTGGGGGTCGTCGGTCGGTTGGACCCGACAAGGGAACATCTGTCGCGTCAACCACACGCTGAGCATCCTGCACAAGCTGGGGCCATGCGGTGACCCACTCTGTGCTGTGGGTTTCACGGACGCCGTAGTAGTGGGTGTATCTGCCCAATGTCAGACTCTGGCTGGGATCTATCGGTACAGTGGACTTACCCCATGGTAAATTCGCTTTAGATTGTTATTGGCGAAAGGTTGTTTGATTCAAGGTGATGACCATAACTCAATAGTAGTGCTATATGTTGCCATTGGCAGGCATTTATTACAAGGGAAGAGAGTCTGAGGGCGGAGAACATGAGGTAGGCAGCCATGACAGAGGCGTCTTAGGCAGCAGCCCCCGACATTTGCAGTGAATTCAACTGTAATCCAGCATAGTCTAGGTTTCCTTCCATAGTCTACTACCATGGATACGGCGTCTTGGCCCTCAGAATGATTTGGCTTCGCGCATCTTAAACTCTGGCAAGGGGCTGCGTCCCCCACGATACCACAACCCTGTGTTCTTCATGTCCTTGTTGTTTAATGTCTCCACTGCCCGTAAACCAAAGGCTACATCCTTCCTGGGGTCCTCCTCGACCCACTGGCACCGACTGAATGCCGTCTGCAGCTCCTGGTAATTGAATGCACCCCGTCCGTGGTAGTGCTGCCCCAGCAGCGGGATAATTGCCTTGCTAGCTACGGGGCTATAATAGTGCGGGATGCGTGAGAATAAGTGATGAGTGACGTGGTCGGTTGATATATGATGGAAGAAATGCGTCCCGATGATGCCAAAGTCGCGGTCCATGGTCGCGGTTGCGCCACGCAGGAAGCTCCACGATTCAGGGGTGTATTTGGGCACCGATGGGTGGGTATGATGCAGATACGTGATCATCACTAAGTACTCATACAGGTTCTGTCAGATAATCTCATTTGCCGGGGGGGAGGGGAGTGTTGCACATACCGACCCAGTGGTTCACCCATGTCCACGGCACAATATAAACCCAAAACAGCGTCTCGAACGAACCAAAATGCTGATAAAGCTGATAAAGGCCGGCGATCACAGTCAAGCAGCCCAAATCCGACAGCACAATGGACAGCCACTCAGAGGGATAGAACAATGCCCCTTGGGGATCGAAATGGCTGTGACGCCACATCGACATACCTTTCCTGGGAACAGCTGTGGGAGGGCAGGTGATGTTGGTCAGGATATACCAGTTCCAGCCGATGGTCTGCTGCAGCAAAATGCGAAGGAAAAGTACGAAGGGAGCATCCTGCCCTATATCCTCGAGCACCTCAACCGCCTGGCCGATTTTGTCGGCGTAGGACTGGCGCAGAGGCGGCACATAGTTCAAATCCTTTTCAATATGATTGGCATAGATATGGTGTCGCCGATGAGTCGATTTCCAAGAGAAGTAGGGGGCGATGAGAAAGGAGTGCAAGACGAATCCGACGCTGTCATTCACCACACTCCAGCGTGAGAAGCCGCTGTGGCCACAGTCGTGTGCAATCACCCAGAGCCCCGTCCAAACAATGCCTTGACAGACTCCATACACGTTGACCGTGATGTAGTAGAGCAGTGACGAATTTTGCACTGCGCTGGTTTGTAGCAGCTGGTGGAGTGCGGTCAGTAGGACCCCCGCGTATGCCAGGTCTCGAAACAGGTAGAAGCAAGACCAGAACAGGGACGGCGTGAAGCAGTAGTCGGGCACTGCGCGACGAAGGTCATCCACCGTAACCTTCTGATTCAGGTTCTGCAGTTCCACAATAACGAATCAGTCACTCTTGATTTGCACATTAGTTGGATAATTAGACATACTCCTCCCTTGACTAGATATGTTGGATGCGGTTCTGCGACCGTGCCAAACCCGGTCTTGCCTGGCTCCATGGTGCAGTGGCGGATTCTTTGAGGACAATTATCGACAATGGGCTTGAACTGATCTCCAAATAAATCTAATCAAAAGACCTGTGTAATCATCAATCAAGGTTAATTCTCCATCCTTTAAATAGATTACCCTGTACCATCATCAGCGGCCTCTTTCAGCAGGCTACGATTACTTGGATAGACCTCGTGCCACAATCAACAGCCCATGCCGAGCTAAGGGGTGTACAAATTAGCCTATAAAAGCTATTGCAAGTAAGCAAAGAATGGTAGTATCAAAGAGCTAGGGTGCAAGAGAGCCCTTCAGAATCTCACTGGCATAAACGAGGCTGAAAGGATCTAATCCCGCATTATCGAAAGCCGTGAAGACCCCGGGAGTTCCGCGAATCATACCGATCAATTAAGGGTCTTCGCCCCCTCCAGGTCCGTGGACAACATGCCAATTGATCATCACGCCTTACATCCTGTCACGCCTGATCGGCAATTCTCTGTAACCCCAAGTGAATTGTCTCGCATGGGTTGTAAGCAGAACGACTAGTCGCCCCAATACCACCTAACCCCTCTATCTACACCCAAAGTAAGATCCCAGCTTACTAGATCTCTAAGTCTTGGAGTATACCATTGATTCTTCATGCTCTACTCTCTGAAAGAGGGTTACGGTCTAGATCAACAACTATGAAAGCTCTGGATAGTCTGCGTGTGGTGCGTGTGATAAATATGGAACTAAATAGCAAAGATCCAAGCCTCATCCCTTCTGTGTGTTGGTAAAATAATTGACAAAAGACCGTCTCGTCGGTAGGTGGGCTACCATCTGTGTGTCCCACAGGATACCACAAGGCCGGGCCTTATCTGACCCGTTGCTCGACACAAACAACCACCGGCAATGAAGGTGAGGTGCCTACGGTATGCAAGGATCAGCCTTTAACTCGTGTCACTTTGTCCTCGGATCCTTCGGGCGCAATGGACCCTACATGTCCGACACCTTGAATACGAGAGGGCGAAAAGATAAGAGATCAAGTGTCGTCTTCGGTGGGATAGAGTTGTTTACGAATTGCTGCGGGAAATGCTCGGAGTCCTTTGCTCATGTACGTACAGTCACTTTCTATTGCAAGTTATCATAATCATTACATCCAGTCATCATTATGTACAGCGGTCCCATCCATACCTACGCATCCGTGCCCAAAGCAAAGACGTCCGCAATCTCGGTGATACTCTTTCCCTGAGATAGCAGCAATCCCAGTAGAATGCGCGACTTCTGCGGGTTCAGATATCCACTGGCGATGTGGGTAGCCGTGTCGCTGCTCACGTCCGACAGTGGCACTTCCCCATTGACAGTGCGCATACTCTGCACGACGGGGATCTCCAGACGGTTGATGACGTCCTCGATGGCCTCATTGAAGGATGTCGTGACGCCTCCAGCACCAGCACCGGCAACCTAGTCTCATCAGCATCCATTTCAAGCTTCATCGACATATCGAAGATATATCACTTACCACAATGCCCTGGGCACCACTGGAAATTGCATTGTACAGGGTGTCGTTGTGCATGTCCTCGTAGGAAAACAGTATGTCCACGCGGGGAATCTCAGTCACATTGGCAATGTCAAAGGTCACCTTGCCGGTTGGCTTGACGGGCGGATAGAAGAAGAAAGGGGTGTTCGAGATCATCTCGCCGAGATAGCCCATCTCCGTAGCCTTGAAGGTGTCCATGGTGTTCGCATTAGTCTTGGTCACGTAGTAGGCCGAGGCAATACGATCGTTCATGACCACCATGGCACCGCGATCGCGAGCGGAATCAGAGGCAGCCACTGTCACAGCTTCGAGGAGGTTGAAGGGTCCGTCAGCCGAAATGGCCGTGGACGGGCGCATAGCACCCACAATGACAATCGGCTTGCCGCAGTTGACGGTGGCGTCCAGAAAGAAGGCAGTTTCCTCAAGGGTGTCGGTGCCGTGGGTGATGACGGCGCCGGCCATGGTCGGGTCCTCACACACGACGCGGTTCAGCTTCTTGGACATGGAGATCAAGATGTCGGAGGTGATATCCTCGCTTCCCACGTTGGCCACCTGCACACCGGCAACGTTGGCCACGTCCAGCATGGACGGGACTGCATCGATAAGGGACAGGACACCGACTGCTCCGGAGGTGTAGCCGGTCGTGGCTGTTGAGCTGGAGTCAGAACCGGCAATGGTACCACCTGTGAGCTGGGGTTAGCTAACGGTCGCAGAATATGAATCAAAGCTTTACCACCCACCCGTTGCAAAGATGGTCACGTTCGGCAGGGTGGTGTTCATCTGGGTGAAGTTGAGGCCATTGGCATTGGTGAAGACGAAAGTCTCATTGGTCGTCCGCGCGTAGAGCAGCGGAGAGGCCGAGGCGAGAGTGGCCAGTGCGGATAAGAGAAAGGGCTTGAGAGGCATGATGCAGACTGATGAGATAAGAGCTCCTGACTTCTTCTACAGTTCATCTTGCCTGGCTGCAGCATTTTATACCTCATCATGTTTGTGCTGGGACGCGGATCTGTTCGGAATCCAGCCGTGATTGCAGTTGGAGATGCTCTTGTGCTGTGGAGGCTTGCTATCTCCTCCACATGGTCTTATCAGAGTTTCTCCACATGGAGTCGTCTAGCTAGAAGGGAATCAGGGTCCATAGACTAGTGGACGGAAACTGATAGAATGATGCTTGATAAAGGGCTTGGCCCCCGATATCGGTGTTGACTCTTCACGATAAGCCCAACTGCCGGAGAAGGTCCATCCGAGGGTAGCATTCACCCATGCGATAAGGCAGAGGATCCTTCTCGAAGCCGCTATCTCCATGACAGCGAGCCAATATGTCATCTTATCTTGTTGTCAGTCATCAGAGACGTCCGTCATCAGTTCGCAGCACTCGGATTCACATTCGTTGCAGTTTAATGGCAGTAGCATCGCATTTGCCTAGTACTATCCGAAACCTCCGAACCAAAATATATATCGATGTCAGCGTGAAAATGCCATACATAGTACAAGCAGGATAATTAATTAGTTACTACTCGTAGCAGTAAGTAGTACTTACTAGCAATATGTTTCTTCTATGTACCTTCAAGGGATATAGTAGGTATGATCAGGCTGTTCCACGCCATGAGGCATTCTGGGTGGCCTTCCATCACAGATCAACCCCTCATCGTCTGTACTAGAAGATGATTTCCATGATATGCAAATTCCCTCCTACTAACTATATCGAGCTGATCTGAAACTGGTGCGAGGTGTGCCCCGTCACCACGCCGGCTGTGTTCCGGATCTCGGGTTGGTGATATGCCACCAGTGACTTCAGCTGCGCGGGAGTGCCGATCTGGAGTTGATGCAGGAGCTCAACCACGGCGGCATAAAGTATCCCCCGGTTGCCATCCTCAATCTTAACCGCGATCCCCAGAGCCCCGTTAATACCGAGTTGTCGGGTGTAGTTTGAAGCACGCACTCCAATAGCATAACAGCCGTCCGCTCCCACCTTGCCAATTAGCACCCCCTCAAATGCCTGCATTAGCGCGGTGCAGAACCGACCATCTCCCCCGACCAGCTCCGGATGGCCCGCCATCGCTCGAAAGATGCGAGCTAGGGCCTGTGTCCGTGGAGACGGGTGATCCGTAGGGGCTGCATCGGCTGCGTCGGCGATGCGGGCGTAGACGCTGGCTAGATGCTGCAGGGGTAGCGCTGGCGCCGGCAGGTTACAGCCATCAATGGCCCATTGGACACGATCTGAGGGCAAGCCCGCCAGCTCCTCAACGGCATGCGTAACTTGCTGCTGAAGAGGATGAGTGATGCAGTGGTACTCTGCAGTAGAAGCTCCCAGGGCTTTCGCACCGGCAAGCATGCCGGCGTGCTTGCCTGAGCAGTTGTTGGCGATGGCCGTCGGCGTCCAGTCCCGCTTGATCCAGGCTCGATTGACAGACTCCGACAGGGCTGCATGACCTCCGCAACGCAAGTCCTCTTCCTGCAGGTTGGCTTTGGCTAGCATGGCGCGGGCACGGGCAAGATGGCGATCTTCACTGCTGTGGGAGGCGCAAATCAGCGCCAGATCTGCTTCATCGAAGTCAAACTTTTCAAGGGCGCCGGTTTCCAGAACTGCCAGGGCTTGCGCAGGTTTCGCAGCCGAGCGGGCCAGAGTGACACGCGTGGGATTTCCCACGGCATAGATGATGCGGCCCGTGGCATCGGTGACGGCGGCATGGACTTGGTGTCGGTTTTCCACGACGCTGCCGCGATGGGTTACTACACAACCGGGTGAGGGGTCGCGAGGTAATGAATTGGGAGAAGCGGTCATGGTGGGTGATACTGAATGGAGGGTTCACTTGCGAATTTGATAAATGGCACCGTCGCCATGTTTGCGACTGCGCAATGATTTTATAAGGGCCCTCCTGCTGTCTGCGGTATCAGGTGGATGGATAATTAGGATGAGGGTACTATTCCCAATGCGGTGCGCGGATGCGATGAGGAAGGGACCAGTGAGGATAGAATGGGACGAAATGTTCAACTTCATGAAGAGGGATGGCTGAAACAACTGGTTGTATGTTACTGATCATCAGCATCCACAATATTTACACCACGTATACGGATTCCAAGCAGAAGGGAATGATGCCATCTCAGAAAGATACCCTGAGGCAATCAGGCAGTCAGGCAGCATCGTATGTCTGCCTTACTGTCTTATCGCCATATCGCCTTATCGCCTTGCCGCATTATGGCCTTATGGCCTTGTGGCCTTGCCCCCTTGGGTGTCAATGCGAGGACCATCTCATCATCCGATAGTATGTCATGGTTGTTCACTGTGTCTTGACACTCTATCATACATCTATTGTTACTTCTATAACCCTTACTATCCATCCTGTTCCTGTTCCTGTTCTGCTCTTTTGTGTGTGTTGTATCGGAGCGGCCCGGAAGCTACCGATCGCCGGATTCCTCCTGATCTTTCTCACTTTACAGCTGTGCCCTTACTCTCTACCTATCTGCTTTCCCAGTCGATAGATTTCAGGTACAATGTTATTTCTTCTGGCATGATTGCTTGACATGTTGTCATTTCACACCACCACATCGTACGGAGGACTACCGAGTCAACTAATTATCCCGGGTGGCCGGTAGCAGCCAATCATGCGAAAGTGACCACGCACGGGGGCTGTCGATCCCCGATGATCGTGCATCGGCAAGCGATGAAGAAGGACGGTAGCACAAGCCTCGGCCACCCTTAAGAGTCAAGGTAGTATTCGGCAGTAGATATGCTGTGTCCCTAGATGTGCAGATGTGGGGAGACCCTTTCGAAATACCCTCCGACCCCGTGCCTCGTGCCCCTGCAGATCGATGCCATTGGAGATGCACCCGTGCTTCGTGTTCCTGCCGATGGGGAAGACGGGTGGTGAATAATGAATAATGGAGTCCATGCGAATGGCTCGCTTAACTCATGAGATGTAAGTTCTAATCAAAATAGATGGTTTCTCGACCACTTGACACCACCACGTGCAGACCCTACAGGGGGAAGAGATGAGGAGAAAAGCTGTCCGAGTGACAGCTCCATATACACTCTGACGATGCTATAAGAAGGCTCCCCCTCGACCATCTTGCCAATGGATTGTATTAACACCAGGGTATTGCATTCTGCCTCTCCCTTCTGTATCTTAATTTCGAAATAGCTCATCATGCATCCCAGTGCGCTAGTCGGTCTGCTGGCCTTTGCTGCCGCTGCCTCGGCCATTCCCGCCAACCCTAGCCATCAGGCTCACTCCGACTCCGCCATCCAGAATCTCAAGTCCAAGATCAAGAATGTCGTCGTTCTGGTCATGGAGAACCGCTCCGTGGACAACCTGCTGGGAGGTCAGACCATCAAGGGCTTGGAGAACCCTATCAATAACGGTCCCTTCTGCAACCCCTACAACATCACCGATCTCTCCCAGGGCACCGTCTGCAGTGCGGCCAGAGACTATGACTCGGTCACCGACGATCCCGATCATGCAGTCTATGGCAACAACATTGAGTTCTACGGCACCTTTACTCCCGACAATGCGGCCATCGCTCAGGGCAAATTGACCCCCTCCCAGCAGGGCTTCGTCACCGAACAGCTGCGCCTGTACAGCGACGATGCCAACCGCACCGAGCTGTCCGTGCAGGTCATGAACTACTACACCGAGCAACAGGTGCCCGTGCTCACCGAGCTCGTCCAGAACTTCGTTGTCTTTAACCATTGGCACTCGGATGTACCTGGCGTACGTATCTCCTTTTCATTTTTGAGCTGTAAATGAGAAATCGCTAATTCAGATGCAGCCTACCAACCCCAACCGGGCTGCTCTCACCTCGGGTACCTCGTATGGTCACGGAACCAACGACGAGGCCTTTGATAACCACGCCTTTCCTCAGCGTTCCATCTTCCAGCAGCTGACCGAGACCGGCCACTCCTGGATCAACTACTGGGACACGGCTGGTGGCACTGGTCCCGATGCTGAGTTCTACAACTGGACCTACACCTCCAACAACACCGACAAGGTCAAGGCCCTGGAAAAGTTCTACACGGATGCCGCCGCTGGTGCCCTACCGGAATTCAGCTACGTTAACCCCTCGTGCTGCGGTGTGGGCACCAACTCTATGCACCCCAGTGGTCTGATCTCCGACGGCGAGAAGCTGATCAAGAACGTCTACGACGCTCTGCGCGCCGGTCCCCAGTGGAATGAGACCCTCTTCATCCTCAGCTTTGACGAGACTGGTGGATTCCATGACCATGTGCCTCCGCCTCTTGCTCCCCGGCCGGACAACCTCACTTACACGGCTACCACCCCGAATGGCAAGGACTATACCTTCAACTTCAACCGTCTGGGTGGTCGTATCCCCACTCTACTAATCTCCCCCTGGGTGGGCAAGGGATATGTCGAGCAAAAGGGCACTAGCATCACCGGCGACTCCGTGTCCTACTCCGCCTCGTCGATCCTGCGCACCCTGGGCTACCTCTGGGACTTTGACCCTTTCACCCCGCGGGTCGAGTATGCGCCATCTTTTGAGCATCTGGTGCAAACGCGATCCCGCGACAACACCCCGACTGCCTTGCCTAGTCCGGTGCCCTTTCGGAAGTAGATGGCGGACTGTTACGCAGTGGTGGATTGTAAGGAGTCAATGAACTGAGGAAAAGTACATCTGAAAAGCTGAGCCGCGTCTGAAATGTGAACATTCGGTCGGATCTCTCCAGGCTTAGCACGGTACAGAAGGAAGATAGATCCTGTATGATTGATGATAAAGACAATACATATATTCGTAATACACCTGTCTTCATCCATGATGGTTGTAGAACATTCCTTGTAATCTCTTCCAAGGGTATTACTACTTGCAGCCCAAGGATGGGTTGTGGGCGAATAATTCCATTCCAATTGGCATATCCTGCGGCAGTGGATGGGAGTTCAATCATTTCCAGGCACTGCATTCCGCACATTACACACAGGAGGTCTATATGACTCTTTAAGCGTTATTCATACCGGTCCACATCAACCCATCTTGATTGGATCCACTAGCCTCGGTCGCATCCTGGCTCTCCGAAACACGATCACGCAGGGGCAGCTTGCACTCTTAGTTCTACTTTATTTTCAGTTCATTCCAAACCATCATGAGAAAGGCAGAAAGCTTACCATTGACATTGCCCATCACCTTGTCGTAAAAGGTCTGACTCGGTCGCTTCTTCAGTCCACTGGCCCCTGCCCCTGGCACCTCCAGGGTCGAGTGGCCCGCTGTCGAGAAAGATCTGCTGTCCTGAGCCGATGACAAGGATCCAGCAAGCGGAGTAGTCCCTGTTGTAGGCTAGAGAACGGCCGTGTGAACTGGACGAACCGCCGAGACCACTACAGGGGCATACTTCATCACCGCAGGCCCAATCTTCTGCACCATAGATTGGATGCGGGTGAAGAAGTCCTCTGTCTCGAGCTGCTCCGGTGGCGTATTGCGGAGCACTTGGAGAGTCGCCCCGGCGAGCAGGGCACGACGGCCCAAGACCTTCAGGTACGGGTCCATTGGCTGTTCTTCAAAGGCAGCCTCAGTCTTCGGCACTATCGTGCTGATGACAGATAGTCCAGTTTGAACGCTGTTCACCCCCTTGGAGGCAGCGGACAGCACTGAGCCCAACGTGCCCCAGAAACTCTCATCCTCCGTCTCGCGCGCCACCGACTTGAGCAGGTGGTGCGTGAACGAGTCGTCTCCAAAATCCCTGGGGAGGCGAATTGGCTCCCGTCGACCGTATGATGTCGGATAGAATGGTTCCCTATCTGCCTCTGCACCCTTTTGGGTGTAGATATCTTGCGACAGATGCAACGCGGCCGGTATAATGGCCGGTAAGATCGCAGGCGCCACAATATCAACATCCGCAGCTGCCTTCTTGTACTCCACCATGATACGCGCGCTGATACCGAGCTGCTTCATACGGTCGGCATCCGCCCGCAAAAACACCTGCAGCGCAGCTTCGGATAAAATGGCTTCCTCAGCCGTGCGAGACTGGGCGAGTTCAGCCGGATGGGCATCAGAAAGCCCACTCTCGGCACTCCGTTTGGCGGCAACAGAGATGGCAGTGCCCGCCAGCGCGGCGACTGGTCCTCCGATGGGACCCAAGAATGGACTGGCCGTGTGCAGGGCGCTCGAGATCACTGGCGCGCCGACGTTGAGCACATCCTTCAGGTCATCCCAGAAGCCATCCTCCGCATCCGAGTTCCTGTCCATGCTGTCCCCGCCCATACGGACGTACTTGACGCCACCTTTAGTCGTCTGGACAGGATACTGTCTCTGGAGAACGGAGATGTACTCGCGGTACGGATTTCCATACTCCCCTCCAATGGGGCTGGCCGAATTGTTTCCAGCTCCACCATAGACATGAGCACCGATGGAGATCAGAGGCCGGTTCTGCACAAGGATTGGAGACCCTGATTGACCTATAAAGAGAGTTAGGAGGTAGATTGAATAAGATCAGCTTTGCATCGCACCTTTGTATGTATCGATGCGATACTCTAACATCTGGTTCGCTGCCGTGCGCCGATCCCATTGGACAGTCTTGAACTCTTCATACATCTGTGCACCTGGCTCTCCACCCAACTGCATGTCACCGGGATAGCCCACTACGCCAATGATATCCTTGCTGATCAAGGGAGTCTCAGTTGGCTTGAATAGGGTAGTGACATTGGTGAAGGGCCGATCAAGCCGGACAAAAGCCACGTCTTGATGGCGATTCATCCCAGATTGAAGCCATCCCTCGGTAGTCACAATCTGGACTCCGTGCCGGAACTGGACGTTGGGGTCATTGATAGAACTTTTGCCGTTGTAGCCAATGTACGCTTTAACCTCGATCGCCCGACCGAACCCTTTTCCATTGTTCTGGCTCCAGTCAAAAGCACAATGACCGGCGGTCACGAGTGTGTCATCCCGAACAAGCCATCCCGTGCCCATGGCATGACGCTGGTCGTCAGGCTCTTGGCCTTCATACCGTATGAACAGCTTGATGATAGCTAATGGCTGTCAGTGGACTGAAAACCATGTGCGGGGGGTTGGGACACTCTTACAGCGATACTTCCCACCTGGGGCAAAGTGCTTGCGGTCCACCAGCTCACGGTCATCATCGAAGACGTCTTCGTTACCTTCTTCATGTAGTCTGAAGAAGGACTCGACCGCTTCGCTGGTGGTTCTTGCGAGTGTCCACGTACCAGCAGTGACAGACATGGCTGCGGTTAAATGAGAAAGGTGATGTATCTCAACAGAAGTTGTGTTGTTAATGTAGAAGGTAAGCTCTGCTGAGAACTAGACAATTCACGGGATTCAAGGTCCTCTTTATATGAATGAATCCTTTGGCTCTGCAAGATGTATCTCGTTCGTTCGTCAATGAAGACGGTAATCCCGAAGCACTAAGATATGAAACGAGCGTGGCTGGCTGATGTTCCCACCTTCTGATGAGATATCTTGGTGATCCATCGTTATAATTTTGCCATCGCAACCGAAACACAGGCACCGAGTGGTTAGGAAGCTGCTTGAGGCAGTTACTGCCGAGGGTCATTTTGCCTTCGCTGTCAGCATCACTACTATCACATTGGTATTGCCATCGGGATTGGGAGACGATCCTTGCCCTGCGTCGTAATGGTCGTTCCTCGTGGCTCTGTCGTTCTCGATCAGGGCCAGATTGCCGAGGGAGTTTCCGCCATCGATCACTGGCTGTGGGTATTGTGAGAAAAGAGATTGTGGTGACCATTGCAGATGATGATATGGTTTGATATTGATTTCATCTGCTATGTGCCGGATTGAACGTACGGGGATCATAGTGTACACATCCCTCGTCTTGCGTTCTTTTGAACGCGATTGAGTGTCCTGAGATGCTGCGCACCGTCGGCTACTTTTACCGCACCCAATGACCCATATGGCCTGACCTGACCCAGTCAGTTCCTGCATGATGCTAAGTTCGAGCCTCTGGGTCTAGAACGGCCACACATGCCCTCGCGATTAAGGGCAGGCTTGTGGCACCCAATCGCACTCCCTTGAAACTAGATTTGAATTGTTTAAAGCGACGGTAATACCCTCCTTGAAGCTGAAGGATTTGAGGTTTCCCCGGATGCTTAAGACGCTAGAGAATATAAAATCATAATGGGCTACTTCGAGTACTGCTCGGCAGCATACCTGCCAATCGACAACACTATAGTGGCGACAGTCTCCGAGACTACGTCTGCACTGCCTTCGGTTCCGGCTCATGCACTGAGTTACTTGCAATGCCCCACTGCACATCACCGTAGCCATTAGCAGCCAGATACTCCTTCCAAGCCTGGTCCTCATTGTCCAGCGCGTGATCCACATCCTGGAACACAAACCAGGCCAAGAGCCCCCCTAGAACGGCGAACCCAGAGCCAATGAGAAACACGGCTTGCGTGCCGCGAAACTCATCATCTCCCCAGCTGGCCAGGATAGGCTTGAAAACCGCCGTGCCAATGGCCGCCCCGGCCTTGCTCCATGCCGCTGCAAATCCCACGGCATGCCCGCGTATCGCGGTCGGGAAACTTTCACTGGCTGTCACAACAATCGTCGATCCGGGACCCACCTCTCCGAGCGTGAGGAAAACGCCATAGAGCACAATAAAGAGTGGCAGCGACTTTTCGATGGGTCCCAGCGCGCCACCCAGGATAAAGCCCAGGGCAGCCTGGAGAAAGTACCCGAGTGCCATGGTCCGCCGCCGCCCAATCCGGTCAGACAGGGAGCCCCCGATGAATGCCCCGGGGATGTAGAAACAGTTGATGAGCGTGCCCCAGGCCATTGTTAGTGCGAGAGAGGAGGTCGGGTTCACGCGACCGACAATTGTTGATGAAAATAGCCCAAACGGGTACGAGATGTAGTTATAACTGGCGATAGGATTAGAATCACAACGGACAATAGCGTATACTGCCCTACTTACATGAACCAAGAGCCGCACGTGCCTAACAACGGACGCCAATAACGCTTTAGTGCCAGCCAGTAGGGCACTGTTTGCTTCTGCATCGAGCTCTTGCGATAAGCCGAGCTGATAGCCATTCGGTATCGAAACCAAAAGATGGAGAGCGGAGGAATTACCCCCAGCGCGAGTGAAATCCGCCAGACCGCTTCATAATGACGGACCTCTTGGTGAAAGCAGAGAAGCAACAGCAGAGGGACTAGGGCACCAAATGCGAACCCAAGGGAAGCCGACAGGTCAGCGATCATGGCAAAGATGAACCCGCGTTTATTTCGGACACCTAGATCCTCATCGGTGGCTTCTGCAGCACCAGCCCCAGCAACAGGATACTCCCTGGGAACGAGTGAGTAACAGATCCATTATCGCTTGAGGTGATGACAGTTAAACTCACCCACCCGCACCAACACCAGCGATACCTCTTGCAATTATCAACATCCAAAACATTCCATCTCGGTCAGTACCGCTAGCACCAGCGCTCAAAGCGATCCCTAGGACGAGGATGACGGTCGTCAAGACCGCGCCGGTCTTGCGGCCCAATCTATCGGACAAGTATCCGAAGGACAACATGCCGATGATCATACCTACCATAAAGGCGTTGGACAAACGAGATGCCACAGCCGTGGTGAGAGCTTTTGGATAGATAACCTCCATGACTAATTCAAGGTTGCCGATGATGGATGCGTTGAAACCGTCGGAGCCAATGGCCAGACCGGAGAACACAATCATCAGTAAGACCGAGAGTTTGGAGGTCTTTGGACGGCCTTGATCTGGAGCGACATCTTCGGCGGCGTCCGGTGATATCTGCACCTGTGTCTGTTTGGCAGGCTGAGCTGCTCCCGTCGTCTGTGCCGAGTCTTGATCCTCTTTGCGAGCCATCTCAGCGGTCAACCCTGCGTCTGCCTCAATGGCCTAGCAGTTTCCTAATCTCAACTCAATCGAGTCATGACGCGGTGCGTGTATTTATCTCTGCTGGACCTTGCCTATCTGTCCCGTCTGTCGGCCGATCCGAGCCTCGTTTGTCCCGCAAGAGACTGGACTAACATATCTGATAAGCCCAATGAAGAACAGCCTGGATGGCGGCGGACCAACCGCGACATTCGGCGATAAGCTGCGAGTCGCCAAGGGAGATGCTAGAGAATCCAATCAAGGGAAATCCAACCGGGCGGGGAATCTCAGCGCATCTTCCCCTCTTTTTCAGACCTGCAGGCGCTCGGATCTCCCCCGACTCCTGCAGATGCACGGCGATAAATCCATTGACTGGATCCCTTGAAACAATTTCTGTTATTCTTCCCCCTCTCGGCAGAATCATGCTGGACAAGCAGACCGAGTCTCTCCCACTGGCGGAGGAAAGACCGCTACTCCGTCAACCACCGCATCAATACCGGAGGTCTATTCTGCACTTTTTTACCAGCGCTGGTCTACTGTTGCTTAGCATCTACGCGCTCTTCCCGGTAAGTACGCGTCGCCATCAGAATCGACGGCCGGGGTCTGACTCGAAGGCAGAGGCTGTCGCTCTTCAGCCCCTTCCAGCAACCGTCATCGGGTACACCATATGAATCTTTCGAGCGATGTTCAATTGAGAATCTTCGAGAAACAGAGTACTACTTTCTGGATACCGCTGCGCCTATCTCAGTTGAGGAATTCGATGAGCGCCGGAACCGCCTCGCGAGGGCTCTGATCGCCGATGGGGCAGACGCCTTTGTCGTGGAGCCGGGGTATACGTTCAAATACTATGCCAACGTGAGCCAGCCGGAATGGGAGGTCTGGGAGGTGAGCGCTCTTGCTCCCCAAGAACTCTTGTGTCTACTAATATCGCTCAGCCGGAGGAACGCCCTTTTCTTATGGTGGTGCAGCCCTATCGTCACTCATCGGGCCTTGTCACTGCAAAGACAACATTCCTAGCCCCATCATTTGAGGCGGAGCGAGCCCGACTGCTAAACATGCCGTTTCTCGAGCTGATTGACATCATTCCTTGGGAGGAGCACTGGAACCCATACGATACGTTGAAGGATTCTGTCATCTTCTCGGCACATGATCGAGCACCGCGACTCATGGTGGACGAGGAAATGAGGGACTTTATCCAACGGGGTCTCGGTCACTCAGGGTTCGAAATCGTCGGGCTGATGGGAGAAGTGGAGCGCGTCCGGCAGATCAAATCCGACACTGAGGTGGGAATTCTTCGCGCCGTGAATACCGGGACCGTGGAAGCCGTACGGCAGATGCGCAAATGTTCGTGATCCCCAACTCGGTCGTACTGTGGACGGACTGACTCTAAGTAGGTCTCTACCCCGGTCTAACCGAGAGTGAGATCGCAAGGGCCCTGGACAATACCCTTCGCTCGGCTGGGTTGGAGCCATTCTTTGATATTGTCCTGTTTGGTACGTGTCCGACCGCTGCAAAGGTACAAGACTGACCGTGGAGGGTAGACGAGAATGCCGCCAACCCACATGGAGGCACCAACGGTTCGAAGGTGCTTGAGCCGGAAACTTTTGTTTTGATTGATGTAGGGTAAGTCGATACACAGGACCGTTGCCTGTCTCACCGTAGCTGCTGCTGACCGAGGTCAGCGCCCATCTCCTTGGGTACTCATCGGATATCTGTCGAACCTTTTTCCCGCCGTTCCTTGAGCCACCGACACCGGATATGCCCGCCCCGACGCGTTTGAGAGACAAGCTGGAGGTAAACCTCGATCCTCACCTGTACAAGCGAGATCAATTGGCTGACTGCTGTAGGTGTGGGACATTGTCTTTGAAGCTCAAACGCAATCCATCAGGCAGTTCCGGGTCGACGCCAGTGCTGCCAGCGTCGATATTGCTGCCCGGGAGGTGATCACGGACGCCGGGTACGGGGAGGCCTTCACCCATCGTGTTGGACACGGAATTGGAATCAAAGGTGAGTCGCCAGGGTCTGTGTGGAGGACCTGGAGGTTTGTCTGTGATATCGGGCTCATGCTGATGTTGCGAGATAGCCCACGAAAGCCCCTATCTGAACAAGGGCAACCATGCGACCCTCCTTCAAGCCGGCATGACGTTCACCTCGGAACCTGGGGTGTATCTGGTGGATCGATTCGGGGTACGGCACGAAGACATCTTTCTGGTGCGGGAGGGTGGGGAGGCAGAGCTGTTGACCGGTCGTCGAGCATCTGGGCCTTGGGACCCATAGGCATTCAGTGTATGTTGGTACATGCAATATATGAACGCGCGGGTGAATTTTGATATAGTAGATAGTAGGAAAAAGTTGTTGCCATTGGAGGAGAGGTGGTGGTGGTGGTGGTGATATTGTTGTGTTGGGGGGTGTGTTGTGCTTCTCCAAAAGTGGAGGAGGCGGAGACCATTTGAGAGAAGCCTCAGGCACCAGAGCACGGGACCCACGGCTTTCCCGGTCGGCATCTTCCCTTTCCCTCATCTACTACTGCTTTGCTTTCCTTTGCTCTGCAGCACTTGAAAGATGAACCATTGGAAATATCCTTTTATTCGATGCGCTACGAATTATATCTACATAAGGCTCATTACTGTCCATTTGGATACTACTAGTCCGGAGATTAAGACCGTCAGCCACTATTACTTACTAACAGTACTATCCTTACCATCAGTTCTGGCCTTGTTGGACCTGAAATATATACAACAACCGCCTGAGTTCATCGAAGGCTAGTATTGAACCACTACTCGACAGCACTACTTGCATTGAAATACACATTGCTCGTACTACTACAGAAGTCTTAATACTCCAGCCACTCAATCCTCCTACTCCCCAGAATACTAATGATATAGGCTGTTCATAGACACCGTTTCCCCAAATAACTACACCATTTGGCTTGCATTACTCGGGATGAGTCAGCTGCCAGTCAGCTGAGAGCGGAAAATGGCGGCGGAAAAAGGAAACCAGCGACGGATTTGATCGGAAAACCGGGTTTTCCTCCCAGTAATAGCCGGTCAGTCTACCTGGACCATCCTGGACCATCCTGGATCATCCTACAGGCCAAGCAGATGAGCTGCAGCATCCGACTATCCGATTCGAAGGAGCATATGTGCGGGTTCTGAGATTGACTATCTACTTATGTCCGCTCGTTAAAGCTGTGTGCGGAGCTTCTCCAACAGCAAGCGGAAATGACGGCCAGCGAGGAGGCATCCTCCCCCGCCACGCGCGCGAGGAAGATCCGAAAGGTGACCCGCGCCTGCGATGCCTGCAAGGCCAAAAAGAAGGCTTGTACGGGAAATATCCCCTGTGGTCCCTGCTCCCGCCGTCACTTGGCGTGCACCTACGACTCCGCCTACAATCGGGGTGTGGCGCTCAGCCCTCCTCCCTCATCATCGCGTCCCAAGAACCATCGCCCTCTGCGGGAGCACGGCAGCTCACGCAGCAATCCAGATCAGGCTCCAGGTGTGATCCAGCCCCTGCAGTCTCCCTCTGTCCTTCGCTCCGTTACCGAGCATTCCCAGCCAGGCCTGCAGAGCAGCCCTGCATCGGGGCCAGGTACACTCCCCGAGACTTCTATCCTCGATGCATCTGTTCGACGAGGCTCAGTAGACGGGACCGGTCAGTACTGGGGTCCGAGCTCAGCACATTCATTTCTGGGCAGGGTCGTGGAGGACTTGCATGCCAGTCCCTCCAAGACTATTGCCCCGGCACAGGATCTCGATGCCTCAGCAACCGTTTCCATCTTCTCCTACGGTGATCGTGTAGTTCCCGAGGTTCAGTTATCAGATTTTGTCTGGCCAAGCCAGGCCAAAGCCAAAAGCTTGATCCGCCGATATTTCGAGTTTGCAGCACCAACATATCGCGTGCTTCATCAACCTACGCTTCACACCCTGGTCCAGCGCTTGTACCAGGAGAATTCAGAGGGCAACCGGATCGGCAGCCAGCTCGATGTAGCATCCCAAGCCGTCTTGCTCTTACTCTTGAGTACTGCAGCCATGTTCCGCGTTGATGAGGACGGTCGAATGAGAGATGCCGACGAGGATGGCTGGCGCAACAGCGAGCTTTACTACACGCAGGCAGAGCATCTGCTGTCGCTCGAGACGGGTGCCCCTACTCTAGCCTCGGTGCAAGCTCGTTTTTTGATGGTGCTTTATCTGCTGAGCTCCTCTCGAGCCCAGAAGGCGTGGTTCGTGTTTGGCACAACAGTCCAGCTGATGATGGCCCTTGGGTTGCACAATCGATGGGCGAGGAGGCACCATGAGGAAGAGGAGGATCTGGTGAAGCAGGAGTGTCAACGGCGCCTTGTATGGTGCTCTTACACTCTGGACAAGTATCTCAGTGTGATCCTTGGTCGACCGCGACTGTGGCATGATGAAGACTTGGACGAAGATCTTCCCACGCGCGTCAATGACGAAGACCTAACAACGCGGGAAAGGAGGCTGTCGAGACATGACTGTGTGATGGATGCGCCAGTCTTTCATGCGACTTTGGCACAAATTCTCACCCAGGCGGCCAAGGAACCTTACGTTCTCTCGGGCCTCTCCGATCGGACGGAGGTTGAGATTATTCGAGGCCTGTGTGGCAAGGTCGCGAAATGGCAAGCGGAACTGCCTCCTTTTCTCTCAGGGATCATCCAACCCAGTACTTTGGTTCCGGTGTTTCGGCGCCAGTTGACAGTTCTGCAGCTGGCTCGTCATCATGCATTGATGTTCATCACGCGGCCTCTCCTATTATTGGATTATGGGCAAATGTGGCCTGAACACCGAAGCAGTTACCGATACCATCTGCATCTTTGTCTTACCGCAGCGCGAGAAGCCATAGAATTGATACTTAGCTTCGTGCGTGAGGATGAATTGTTCCCAGCATTTTGGTACTCACAGTATATTGCATTCAATGCTTTATCAATCATCTATCTATACCTGATCCAGGTCAGACGCAACCGTCTGCCTTCTGCTGGTCTCGACTGTGTCCGGAGCCCGGAACACACTTTGCATGCAGATTTGGATGAACCCACGCTCTACAGACTGTCCGAGACGGCAGTGACACACCTCGCCGACGCAACAGCTCGCAACGCCCCTTCTTGGAAATACAGTGTCATCTTGCAGGGTTTGCGACACGAGCTGGCCCGCCTCGTCTCCCCAATAGACACTGGCGACGCTCAACCTACCGAGCCGAATGAGCTATCTCATCCAGTTTCCGAACGGAGCCCTCGTTTGACCGAACACAGAGGTGAGATGGGTCGCCGTGAGCAGCAGGCAGAAGGCACCGCGGTGAGGGATTATGACCCTGACCCTAATATGTTGCCGACTATATTCTCTGGACTGGACCCCGCTATTGATCCAGGGCTGCTCGATCCCAGGACACAGTCCCTCTTGGACACTTTCATCATGGGCGAAAACGTGGTGCTCGATTTCTGGCCACAGCTAGAAAGCCTGCCTATCTGTAAGCATTCTTCTCGTAGTCGATAAGAACGCCTAGTAGGTGCTAATTAACCCAGCATACCCCGGCTGATGCGGAATTTGAATGTGACTGGGACGCGAAAACCCCAATTAGTAGATCTATTCACATATTTACTGGTAATCCGACCGGATTGTTGCTTTTGCACCATATATCTAGGTAGGGTGTCTACGATATAGCTACAACGGACCGGCTTGCCCAGTCAGTAATCTTGGGAAGTCTCGCAAGTTGGTAAGTTTCCATTTATTCCACCCCGGCACTCAGCACTTGCTCAGCGACCAATTACCAGATATACTTATAACGAATTTGCCCGTCCTCCTCCTCTGCCTTTCGTGCCTTCACATTGAGTGTATGGAGATACAATGCCAACAGCCCAGTCAAGACGATTCCGGCAGCAGCAAACGCTGAAAGGGTGATACCACCAGGCCGGTACTGTGGAGAGTCGGATGTGGGAAAGAAGTACGAGCCGTATATATTGGACGAGTTACCGAAGAGGTTGACCAACGCGTACACAATGGCCCGCTTGGTGCGTGTCCGGGGGATCGTACTGGCAATCCACGCTTGAACGACGTTGAAAGCGGAATATGAACCAGCGCACATTAAGAACATGCCGATGTACCTGACTGCAGTGGCTCGAGACGATATGACCATGACGTTTCCCACGATGTCTATGATTAAAGGCCACGCGATAAGAACTGCGCGCTGGCTCGTTCGGTTCGCAATGAAGGAATTACCAAGAGCGGTGATGAAGCCAAAGACGTACACCGGAGCCGTGATCAGCAGCGTGATGATGTTGCTAAACCCCAGTGTTTTGACGATGGTCTAATAGTACATAAGTCAGAACCACAGTAGCCGAAAACATAAAGATTGGTACTTACAGGAAAGAAGTAGGTCCAGCTTTGAGATGTGAGCTGGCAAACCTGGATCAGGATCAACATCCACGCCTTGGGATCTAACAATGCATCCCGCAAGCCCTCGCGAATGGAACCATTCTCATCGACCTCATCATTTGCGGCGCGGGCGAGACGCCATTCGGAAAAGCGCTGCTCCTGTTCCGATAGCCATTTTCGCTGCCCGGAACGAGGAAAGTCTGGGAGAAGCGCGACAGCGAGAAGGCCGGCCACCATTGTACCAGCCCCTTCGATTATAAATAGCCATCTGTCCGCGCATTAATTAGCTATACGCTCTCACAGTATGCCAGGCGATCACATACCTCCAGCCTTCCAGCCCGCCTTTGCCATTTAGTCCACTCATGACGCCCGCGGCAAACATGCTGCCAAATCCATTGGCGATGGTGTTACCACAATACACCACGGCTACCCGCACCGCAATTTCGGACGGTTTGTACCAGGAACTTATCAGCAACCTGGTGGGATCGCTCGTTAAAGTTCGTTCAGAGACAAGATCATTCGGATTTGGTAATGGGTACTTACAAAGCCCCGGGAAAGAATGGTGACTCGGCGAAGCCGAGGAATATGCGCACGCATATAATGCCGGCGTAACCATGTACCGCAGCCATACAGATCGAAATTCCTCCCCAGATGAATATGGCTGCTGGGATGTAGCGGGAGGGTTTCAAACGGGTCAACAGAATGTTACTCGGCACTTGGCCTACCAGGTAGCCGACAAACTGTGCACCGACAATTTTTAGCACTGGTTAACGTCTCAGGGTGGGGCACTTGACCTACCATGATGGCTACCGCAGTTTGGTATTGCGTGTCCGAGAGGCCCAGGTCTTCCTGTAGCCCTCCCAGACGGGCATTGGCGATGTTGGAACGGTCCAAGATATTGAAAATAAATAGTAGGAACAACGAAGAAATCAGATGCAAATCGATCTTGCGCACCACTGCCGGCAGTCAGCATCATACGATTGCACCAGTAGTACGAAACCAGTGTATAGTCTTACGGCGCTTCTCCAGGGCCTGTTCTTCTTCCGGGGTCAAGCCCTCGAACGATTCGTCCACCAAGTCCAATGGCTTCCCAGTGGACTCGACATGGCGAGATGATGCTTTGTTGTCAATTTCCGCCATGCTGTCAGTTGATGTAGGTATGTACCGCCGGGGCTACGACAGCCGATATCGGAACAGTACTAAGGGCCAAGGCCACAAGGGATTGCTAAGAACGGATACTGAGTCAGTCCTGTGGCTGGGCAAATTTATACGGAAAGGAGAAGAGTAGAAAGAAGCAAGATTTCATCTTCTTCGAGAATCAGAGTGTCATTCGTTTTATATTGCTACCGGCTGCTGTTGGGCTGCTGTACCCCAGATGCCATGACCCTATTCCCCATCTGTCAGTGCGGGGTCCCCACGAGCGGGAAAGGAGCGGATATCCCCCGGTCTGGGGTTAGCGACTGGCACTGGCACGGCCAGACCAGACTTGTTCCGGGTTCTCGTATAGGTATCAAACATCAGACCAGCGCTGAATCTACCCCAGACCCGGGTGGGGTGCCTGTAAACTTCCCCAGATCTGTTTCATATGCTTCGATCATGCTAAATACCGTGTCAGTGCTTAGACAGAGGATGTCCAGAATTATCAACTTTTGCATCTCCATCTAAACATATCTCCATTCAGCATTCGATATGCATCCAAGTGCCAAATTTCTCGATCAAAGGCTACTGTTCTACCATTGTATACTCGGGTTGTTGCTTTTCGCGCATCCGTTTTCACCCTAGCGGTCGCTAACTTAACTCGCTCGCCACCCGATTGGACCGCGACATGGAATCCAAAACTCTCCATGATATTGACACTACTCTATCTCCATGTCTTTCCGACATTTCCGATTCATATCCGCGTCCTGAAGCTACGAGATCACCTTGGGACAAAAAACCCATTCCGACAGTGTCAGGTGGATGGTACGTTTGTATGTCAGTAGCCTATCCCATACCCTCCACTTGTGTCATGTGTGAGGACATTATTGACAAAGTTGAGTTCGGGTGTCATGACCCAAATCGCTGACTCCGTAATAGAGCTTGGGTTGATTTGGCGTAGCTATATCCTGGAACTGTAATTAAAACCATTATTTGTGGGTAAGGTATTTGCAGATCCCAATCTAAGACATCATGGAGATGTAATCATTACTACAGCTATGAATTTAAATGTATTCTGGTTGGATATTCCGTCTATTGGAAGGTATTCATGGTACTATTGCTTGGTGGGTGCGCCTCAGGGCAGCCTTCCGCAACCGTCCTTCATGTTCATCAACCTCCCACCGCGTTTGTTGGCATGATGTCGTACAGACATACCATGAAAACCTGGGTGACGAGTAGTCTAGGCTGCGGTGTGTTACCGCCAGGCCAGCTGGTTATAGAATCATTAATCAGCGCTACAAGATAGCAACGCCATTTGGCGGGCTAGCCACTCCTCCGGGAACCTAGTCGACGAAGCTGATTGTCAGTCATTGGAAATGAACAAATCACCGTTGGCAACATAACTCGCCTTCAATGGAACGCTGGTGAAAAAGAATGACCAGCGCTGCCTCTTTCGACACTCCTCGCTCAGCTGCTCCAAATCGAACATTTCCCCGATCGGAAGCCCCCAACCGGCCAGCAGCCACTCATGTAACCAGTACTTGAAGTCCTGGCACGGCCAGGCCTCAAAGCTTGGGGTGTCACTAGCGACAGCAGCGAATTCCTTCTCCCAGAGCCACCGAAGTGTGGCCTCTGACGACTCGATCCCGATCGCTGGGGGCGTGGGGATGTTGGTCATCGCAGAGATTTCATCTTGAGATAGTTGGGCATACCCCCGTCCCCAGCCCGCTCGGATGAACAAGATATCACCGGGCCTCAGCTCTGTGCCCTGGGCCTTGGCGACTTCCTCCAGGACGGCGACTGCGATTGACTGGGTCGTAAAAGGCTTCACAGGGACATGGTTGGCCTCTGCCCAAGCGACATAATCTAACAAGACTCCCCGTCCGATGATGCCACCGGTTTCCACCCATGCTGCAAGAACGATCAGAACAAATTCATCAGTGATTTCTTGTTTTCGGGTGGAAATACGCACCGTGAATCCCATTAACTTTTGTAGTCAAAATGTCGTCGAGGGTGCGGCCGTTGAAATACAGTCTCTGTTCCTGGTAGCCGAAATGCCGCAGACCGTCCCACTGCGAGCTGGACTGGGTGTTGAAGTGCAGGATGTCATCATTGACAGATGTGGGGGCTATGTTGGAGATGGTCTGGGCAAATGGAACCCGATTGAAGGCGGGCGTGGTAATACGATCCAGTGGCCAGTCGGTGGAAATGCGAACCCCATCGCGGATTTCGCTGGCGGCGGCACGCGTTCGATCGGGGGTGAGAAGATTCAACATACCACACTGGTCGTTGGGTCCAAATAATCCCCATGCATTACCGGGCGGACCCGTCTTGTCCAGCGGCAAGTCATCAAAGGCGGGCTTCTTGCTGAACGGCATTGTGTTGCGGCTATTCTTTCGACTGAGAGAGAGTTTGGCGGGGTAGAAACGAAGTGTGGATCATGAGAATGGAGTCAATTGTCATCTAGTTGAATCTAGCGATCATCTTCTCCGAACTCTTGGTTTATCCGCCGTTGGGCTGTCGGATTTCCGACCCCACTCGTGTTGTGCTGCTTGACTATATGAATCACCACCACCGTTCTAGCTTAATGTTCGTCTCCTTCTCAAAGACAGAGAGAAAAAGAAGTCTTGCCTACCATGTCCCTACCCTCGCACTTCACCCTCAACACCGGCGCCAAAATCCCTGCTGTGGGATTTGGTACCTGGCAGGCCAAGCCCCTCGAGGTAGAAAACGCCGTCGAAGTGGCCCTTAAGGAGGGTTACCGCCACATTGATTGCGCCGCCATCTATCGCAACGAGACCGAAGTCGGCAATGGCATTCGCAAGTCCGGAGTGCCCCGTGAAGAGATCTTCATTACTGGCAAGCTGTGGAACACCAAGCACGCCCCGGAGGACGTGGAGCCAGCACTCGACAAGACCCTCCAAGACCTAGGCCTCGCCTACCTGGATCTCTATCTCATGCACTGGCCCTGGTAAGTAACTGTCTACTCATCGTTCGGGATCGTCTGGTGGAGACTAAGCATTGACC